CCAACCAGGAAATTGAAAAGTACTTACAACTTTTCATCAGTTATCGACAAGATGATTGGATGGAATGGCTAGCATTAGCAGCATTCCAACACAACAACAGAATTCACTCTGCAACAGGTAAAACACCATTCTTTGTGAACTACAGATAGAACCCACTAGTTGCACAAATAGGGCAGATTCACACAACAACACCAGCATCAAAGGACTTTGCAACAACAATGGCAAAGATCCACAAAGAAACAAAGATGGCCCTTGAAAAGGCTGCTTCAATGATGAAGAAGCAGTATGACAAGCACCAATGGGCAGCATATGAATATTCAGCCAACAACAAGGTCTGGCTGGATACCACAAACCTTCACCTATCAAGGCCAAAATGCAAACTTGCAGACAAACAAACAGGACCATTCAAAGTCATATGCAAAATTGGAAACTCAGCATACAGGTTGCAGATCCCCATCACATGGAAAATTCATAATGTTTTTAACAAAACAGTATTAACACCATACATGGCACCAGCCTTTCCAAACCAAGACAAGCCACCTCTGCCACCACCAGACCTCATCGACAATGAAGAACACTATGAAATCGATGAGGTGCTTGGCCATAAAACCCACAAGATTAAAGCATGAGGCAGAGGCATGAAAACAACTGTTGACTATCTTGTCAGCTGGAAAGGATACGGACCAGAATCAAACCAATGGGTCAACAAAAAATACATGAATGCCGACGATGCAATCCAGGACTACAAACACAGAATCAACAAATTGGATATGAAGGGGGTCATGTTCAACATTATATCTACAAAAACAAATGCAGCGACAAATGGAAGGGAGATGATATCTAGTCAGATATACATCAACTGACCTGCCGACAGCAGAGGACATGTTAAAGAGGACAATGAAGATGGCCCTGTGATGGACGAGCCACAAATAGTGGGGACATACAGCGAAGAGCAATGTATAACACCTTCGACTCATTTGAAGCCTGTCCAGGAAGCGCCGAGAGGTCCAGCAGATCAGCCACCTCCTGAAGGGTGAGGAGGACTTCCCTAACTTAACCATCAGGATGATGGTCTTAAGGAGGGGGTAATATTACGATTTTTCCTATTTTCTTTTCCTTTTCCTTGGAAATAACCCCTATCTTGCTTAGTCAGAGTGCTTAGGCCAGTGCTTAGGACTGTGGGAATGCTTAGCTCAGCAACCCAGTTGGTCACTCTCCTTTCACATTGCTGTGTGCTGTGAAGGAGAGACAATGCTCCTTTTGTCTCACCTTGCACTGCTAAGATAACGAACACAACAGCAAGACAACAGCTTTTGTGGAGAACCTGGCAACAGCAGGGGTAACAGCTCTACAGCAGACAATATCTTTTGTGAATGGATATTAATAGCCAGATAACAGAATAGTATTTAAGTAGCCTAGTTCTTGCTGTAAATACCCAGTCTCGAACTAAAGTTTATTCTTCACCAAACTACTCTCGAGCTCTTACTACTTGAGCTTTGACTCACTACTGCTATTAACTTTTGTGAACTCAGTCAGACATACCCAAAGTGCGAGGTATCAAACTGTTTATCACATGTTGATAGTCATGTGGGATTTGGGCTTAACAAACAACAGGTACAGAATCTATAAATAAAGCATTCAAACTAGTATTTCTCCTGTTTAAAGTGGAATCATGCCATTATTCCAGAATGACAGTGCTTCTGGACTCCTCTAGGCTTGCCCAGACCTGTCTGGCCACTGCACAGCTTTATTTTAAGCCTACAGTGCCTGTGAGTACCTAACTCCTTTCTGTCTACCCAAAGTTTTAATCCTCTGAGTTATTCTTAGTAGCTCAATTGATTAGGCCCAGTCAACTGGTCCTATCCACTCTATCCCTCTCAATTCTAAGTCTCTTAGATCACCTGATATCTAGAAAATTCAGACTTTAGGAATTTGAGTCAAAACTCACAGTGCTAGCCACAGATCATTGGGTCTCTCTTCTTACTGCTCCTGGATGATGCTATCTCTACTCAATACTCCACAACTGGCTATGGTATTATACCTCTAGCTGTCTTAGAATATACTTGTCTTAGTAGCATGTAGAATTGGCCCCATTTGAGGTACTATTTCTAAGTCCAACTTGGACTTAGTATTTTCCAAGGTGTGGTGCCAAACTTTTCTAAGTTCAAACCTGACTTAGGATTTTTATCCTTAGGCCATGTTATTTTTACAAAGTTCAATTTGGACTTAGTATTGGTGACTAGCATGACTATCAGCTCAGAGCCTCAGCCATAGTCCTCTACTGGCTAATGATCCTCAGTTACTAGCATATTCTAGTGTGTTATGCAGAATTTGCAAATTATAGAGCTGGACATGTAGCCTGCATATCACCACATTCAGAGATATATCAGAGATGCAATGCAATGAAGGTGGCACTGATGGACAAGTATCATTGTCCAGGATTGGACCAGATCATCAATGAGGTCACCTTGAATGCAGATAATGCAAGGCATTCAGCAGGACTCACCTTCACTCCTTATTAGAATCAATCACATGGTGACATCCTTTCAAACTGCTAGTAGGTGACTACTTGGCTATGTCAAAAGGAAAAGGTGGATTTCATGAGATTGATACCTGGACCTGCACAATCAGTGAGTTTTTGGTTTCAAGTATGAGACTCATGGATCAGCAAAGACCACAAAGTCTGCTCTTCACCTTATGTTCACATCATACTCACTATAAGATACATTCATATCAGATGGTGGCCCTCCATTTGACAATAAAGAGGTTCATAAAATGTGCACAGACTTTGGCTGCAAGTCTCATATTATTGCTGCTTATTTGTCTTAGGTCAATACTCATTGAAGGAACAAATAGAATCCTTCTGGCTATTCTGGCTCACCTTTATACACTGGACTTAGAAGAGGAGGGCTGGAATGAGATCAAAGTCTGAGAAGATTTACCATACCACTGGCCAGACTACTTTGACAGAGTGATCTACATACTGAATATGTGCATACTTCAGCATCTCAATCACATGCTAAACAAGCTCTTTTTTGGCACAATCATCAACTCAAAACCTTCTGAATTGGCTGCTGTGGTGGTTAAGCCAATGAGAGACAATATTGAGGTGCAGATAGCATATTCCAGACAGCAGTGACTTGTTGGATATGCTCAAGCAGTCAGTCATGAGGAGAAATGAAAGCAAATATTTGATAAGAGGGTTATCAGCTCAAAATCCAGGCAGGTGGTGTTTGAGGAGAGAGAGCTCATAAGGTGTTCAACATGTGGTTAGACAAAATAATGCAAACAAAGAAGAAGCTCTTATCATAGTGGTCAGATGCATTGAGAATAACAGAATGCACACTAAACTCCCACACAGTGGCAATGGTGGCTGGTGTATCTCTCAAGGAGAGGTTTCATGTGAGGAGGCTCCAGAGGTTTGTTTCATCAGTGGGATCTTCATTTAAGCAGTATGAGAAGGATCAGAAAGCAAGGTCAGAGAGCAGGAAGATAGTACTCCCATCAGAAAATAGCACATGAAAGAAAGCCAATGAGTTCAGCATATAGGCAGAAGATGAGGATTGGGTTGGCAGGAAGGATGATGAGGATATTGTGCTAGAGGAGAAAAGTGGAGGTGGGTTGAAAGGAGAGGAAGGTGAAATGCTGAGAAGTGACACTAAATGAATTAACAATGTGCAGGATACATATGACTAAATCACTAACACCAAATCACAATGCAGTTTGAGAGAGGAATAGTAATACCAGGATTCTAAGTATGTAGAGAAATGTAACATTGATGAGTGCAATAGAATGTAATTTAAAGATGTATACTGCAGTTTATATGGACAAAGTTGTCTGTGTTACTGAACACAACAAAACTTATCTCAAATAGTCTGCTTGGTGCAGGTTCTGAACTGATATGATGTGCCTGGTTGTGATTTTTACACAAAACTGGCTGTTCTGAATGGTCTCAGATCTGTTCTGACTGTCTGATATAACTTTTAGTTCCTTTCTGGAGGTTCTTGCACAAAACAAAGTGACCTGGTCACCACAATGCTATTCAGGTTGAGTCTACAACTCAAAGCTCTTAACTAAACACAACTCATACTATTTGCCTGATAGTGTTTTTTTTGGAGAGGAGAGGGTTCAGAAACCTGCTCTTTTCTATCTACAGATTGATATTTATACTTTCTGGATGTCAGTGTCTGACTAACACAGTGACCTACTGACTAATAGGCTTGCTGGCCTGGCCCAGTAGGCTAAACTTATCTCCTGTCAGGTATGAGCTCATTTGCAGCTAGCCTGATCAATTGACCAGACTCTGCTCAGCCCTTGTCAGCATGCCAGTCATATGGGCCCCCTGAACCTGGAAACCTCACCTGCTAAATCACAAGGTTCACTAGTACTCTGGCTTCTACTAGATACTGAGATGATGCCCTTGGAGGGAATCATTCTCTCATCAGGTAATTACTTGCTTATTATCTCTTACTATAGCACAAAGCAACTAACCCAGTAGAAACAATAAACATATTTGACTTTCTACCTAGTACAGTTGCTCAGCACATCAAGAAAGAGGGTCCATTGGGTGGCAGAGAGGCACTGGAGTGTCACCATGCAGTAGGGGTGTCATCTTGCAGTAGGGGGGTACATGGGAGCATAGATAGGAGAAGGTGGAGAAAGATTCAGATTGTAGCATGTGTCTGTTTAGGGGCAGCATAGACATAGAGTGCCCTTTCCACAGATAGATGAATCAATCCATCCATTCACCTACCATTGACTACAAGGTGTTCCAATACCTTCTTGTGAGGTTCAATAGATGTGAAATGTGCTACTACTATTACCAATGTATACCAGAGTGGACATGAATGTTTTGAATTTTGATCAATCAAATGTCAAACTTTCAGATGTCTGGAACGCACTTAATAACATGAAACTTTTGTCTCATAAGTCACGGTCACGGTATTTATAAAGATGGACCTCAAAGCCCCTGCCTGCCCCGAACTTTGTCCATGACTACCATGATTACCTTGCAACCTATCCTGCAACATGCAGTTTCGACACCTAGATTACCGCCAGAACTCATGGATCTAATAGTTGACATTCTTTCCGATGATGTTCCCTCTCTCACAGCTTGTGCATTGTCCTCTCGCCAACTTCTCCACCGCAGCCGCTATCACCGATTCCACACCATACACTTCGATTTCCTCCCAAATCGGTTGTTCAATCGCTGCGAAATTTTCTCAAGGAAGTGCCAAAATGTGGCGCCACTTGTAAGGACTCTTACCTTGAGCGAAAATCTCGACTGGTCCAATCCCCCCTCTAGTACATGGGTCGCCTCTGAACCACAGCTGCCTATCGTCTTTGCAATGATGAAGAATTTGACATCCTTGCATCTTGTCCGGGTGAAACTAGTCGGCATTAATATCATCGGGCCTCAAGTCAAGGAATTGAAAATGAAATACTGTTCGGTGACGAACCTTGGCACCTTCCTCGGCGGCTTCCACAAATTAAACAAGCTAGCACTACACCACGTAGACATTGTTGAAGAGACATCCTCATCGTCTGAAGTTTCTCTTGACCTTGAGGAATTAGTGATTACCAATATCTGCAGCGAATTGGACAAGAATACCACCAAGTACCTCCTCCCGCTCCTTTCCATCCCACCTCGTATTCGACGGCTTACCTACCCAATTTACCCCCCGGTGCAGAACATCCCACAATACGATGTGATTCCTTACACACACCTGGATGAGTTATTTCTAGTAGGAGCCTTCCTGACAAACCGACCCATTCTGCATATCCAAAATGTTACCAGGCTTCATTTGTCTATGATCCCCCCCCGGCTCTGGCATCCGGCGGATGCATGCAAATACTACGATGAGCTAACAGATTGGCTCATACACCTGCTACAAAAAGCTCAAGGGGGGTGCTTAAAGGAGGTCAAATTGGACTACGGCCTGCTTAGCATATCTTGGACTCCGTACCAGTGGAGAGAGCTCGATAGAGTTCTACTGAAGATGGATTCTGGCCTGGTTGGCATATCCGGGAGTCCGGGCAAGTGGAAAGAGCTCGATGCAGTTCTATCGCAGATGGAATTGAGCAAGGTTGAGCTCATGTTCAGCACAACGCAGGAGGAGTGGGGTGGAGAAGGAGTAGAGACAGCCAAGTGGAAGCTGGACAGATTGACGTTTAAATATGCTGCTTTCTTTGAACAAGTTAAAAGGCGTGGGTTGTTGACAGTCTCCGGACGATACCTAAGTTACGATCGTATGTTTGCAACTATCTAGACACCACTGTTGCATTTTGGACATTGAATCAGTATATAGGTTACAAATAATACAACTTGCGTCTTTCATGTCCCAAGATTTCGTCGTGGAGAAATAATTCTAAGATTTACTTGGTACAGTGTTTTGGAAAGCGATGAGACATGACCTTCATGGGGCATAATGAGCAGCCATCCACAAAAGAAAAGATGAATACACACACGTGTTATTATGGCGTTCAAGATTGACGAGTCTGTCGCCTCCGAATCAATTTCGAAAAACTCTGCACTGGTGCCTGTTTGCGCATCCTATACGCCATTGAAAATAGCCGCAATGGTGCACATGAATACCAGAACATCGCCATCGAGCCACAATTTGTTAAAAGGGGGCTTTCCTGTCTACGCGCGGTCCAATTAGAAAACAACTCGCGAATAAGCTCGACACGCACGCACCCACTAGCAGACAGTCTCTGTGTCCATTGCTCCCATTATAACACCTAAGTGAGAATTAGTACGAATCTAGTCAAAAGTAGGTGTGGCGACCGACAACTTACTGTTTTACATGTATGGTGAGGGTCGAAGCGCAGAAGCATTCTGAGAAATTTGACATCAGTTACCTACGGCGCGGAACACCGGTCCGACAACCGTTCCAGGGTCCAGGGATAGCTTCCTGCTCTACCTCCTCTGTTTTCATTCATCATCTCGTTGGAATGCTTCGTCACTCAAGTAGTAGATGAATTATTCCTTCTTATGATTATCCTGATGATTGATCAAATACGGAAGCAAAATTTGATTTCACATTGGAAATTTAATAGTAGGACAGTGCCAGACAGAACATGGAAAGTAAGTATTGGATAATTAAGAGGCCTTTGATACTTCAGCAACACAAATACATTACAATATACAATAGCAACGGTGGAGGATTACTACGAAAAAGATCCTCAGCCTTATTAGAAGCCTATTTAAGAAAAACACCACTGACCATGAAATACATCCTCTGTGACTGAGTATCATGTGCCGGCTGATGCCGTCCTCGATGTTTACTAAACATTTCTTCTCGCGTATGCGAACCTCTCGATATAACTGATGAGGGTGCGCCTTGGGGGATCATAGTGTGTCTTGGCCAGGCTACAAGCAATATGGGCATCTGCCAAAATGCATTTGCGAACGACACTGCAGAGAACCGAAAGAACGAACAATAGACAGGCGCAGGAATAGACACCGAACGTGTTGATCTGGCGTAAATGAAGCAAAAGGTGTAAGCTAACGACTGTATTGCGTCCGCGCTGGAGAATGTGGGCCTGGTGTACTGCATTTAAGAAACGCAAGGCATACCTAAACCCGGATTCCTGTTGGCCACAAACGACGAGGAAATATCAGTGCAGATTATACCAAGCGAGCGACGCACATCATAGACAACCTAGATGCCACGAAATAGTTAGGCAAAGGACGACTATAATCGAAAAATGCTAGTACCGAGAAGTCCTCCATGGCTCCGTAGGTAGAAGTCGAACTCGATCGGGTTAGTTATCGATCAGTCCCAGCATGGAGGTTACCACTTTTATCTTTGTCATTGTCGTTCTTTGGGAAAAATCTGGGAGAGTAAATCAGCAATTGGCGTTCAATTAGAACAAGAAAAAACAAGCGAACCTCATATGATGGCGCTTCCCGACAATGATGAACGTGATTTTTGGAGGTGGATTTAGTTCAGTATCGATGCATGCAGCTAGGGTAGTCAGAACGGGAAGACGCGATGAAGGTGATAAAGTCAGTACCTTGAAGCATAGGAAACCCTTCGGAAGGAAGGATGTCAGCAAGAACGAACAGAAATGCAGACACAACAGCAACTTACCCAAGTCAAAAACACACTTGACTTCGCCTTCAGATACGCCGTCTACAAGTGAGGGTCAGCAACCACTCAATATCCTACTCCCGAAGAATATCAGTCGCTTTGGCAGAATCGAGACCTTCTCCACGGTACTTCTGTTATTCACACATGACACAAGAAGATCCTATCATCCAATAAGCCACATGTATCAATCAAGCGTAAAGAAACAAACAACCTTTGCCACTGTGCACAGATCTTCGATCATTTCTTGCCGCGGTAGCTGGAGTGTGGTCCTCGATGCGTATCCTACACTGTCAGAATCAATGTTTGCCACCACAGCAGAATAGGAGGGCGATGGACTGTCTCCCTCTAAGAACTTCACCATGCAATCAATGGTCGTCTATCTCCCATTAATCCTTAGATCCATCCCCAGGTGCATATTCCTCAAAGCCCATCAACTCTTCCACTGCTGAGCTTCAAGGCCATCGATACGAACGACCTTCTCGTCACCACACCGCGATAACCATCGTCAGGTTTCTCTGGCTGGGCCTTCTCACAAATGGGGGCCGCCGATACCAATATCTTCCTGGGATTCCCTCAATGTGCGACGCCGATTCCGTCCTTTTTCAACAAACATTGAACAAATGTCCCAATCCTGAGCAAGCCCAAAGACAAGATGAAAAACGAGAAGAGCTCTGATCACTCAATAGACCTAAAACAACATTCGCATGAGATGCATAAACGTCAGACAAAAAAATCATAAAACTGCGTGTTATTTGAAACACAAAGTAACACAAGTATTACAGTCTTTGATACTTCAGCAATCATAAAGACGAGGGACGTAGACAGCAGCATTACACAACATAACATTCAACACAACGGCGATGGCGATAGAGAGAGTAATCACTACAAAAAAAAAACATTTTCAGCCTCTCTAATACCCAATTTCAAATTACATCGCTCACCATAAAATACATCCGCTTCGACTGAATATCGTGCACTGACTGATACTGTCCGCGATGTTTATCAAGCATCTCTTCGTGCGTCTGCGAACCCCCAGTCACGACCGACAACGGTGCAGCTTGAGGATCGTAGTGCGTCTTGGCACGGCTACAAACAATATGCGCATCTACCAAATACTTATATATAAACAAAGCGACTAAGGGGAACCAGAGAAAGAGACGTACAATACACAGGCGTGGGAATAGACACAGAGCGCGTCGATCTGGCATAAGTGAAACAGAGAGTATATGCGAGCAATTGAAGCGCATCCGGGCTGTAAAGCGTGTCAGCCCGTTGTAGATTGCATTAAAACACAAGACGTACGTAAATCCAAATTCCTGTCAGAAAAAAAAATGACGATCAGTATCAGCCTAAGTCAGGACGAGCGAGCAACCCACATCATAAACCACCTAGATATAGCAAGGCAGTTAGACAAGCAACAAATATAATTGAGAAGCTGACATACGTTGTAATGAGAACTCTTGCTAGTTCCAAGGAGTCCCCCATGGCTTTGCAAGTAGAAATCAAACTCGACGGGATTCGTGATTTCTTGGTCGATAACAGTACCCGGAAGAAGGTTCCCACTTTTGAAGTCTTTGTCCTTATCGTTCTTTGGGAAGAACCTGAGAGAGAGAGAAAGAAGCATTGGCAATTAATTCTAAATCATCGGAAGAAAAACAAACAAACCTCATATGGTGACGCTTCCCGACGATGATGAACGTGATTTTCGGAGGAGGGTTCATTTTCGCCTCGACGCACGCAGCTAAAATAGTCAGAATGGGCACGATGAAGGTGATAAAGTCAGTACCTTGAAGCAGAGGAAGTTCTGTGGACGGACGTCAGCAAGGACACATTAACATGGATGCGGGATACCACAGCAACTTACCCAAGTCCAGAACGCGCTTGAATTCACCTTCGGATACACCGTCTACAGGCACAGATCAGCATGATGAAGAAAGACAACTACTCAGTGTCCTACCCCGGAAGAATACAAGTCGCTTTGGCAGTGTCGAGACCTTCTCCATGCCAGTTCTATAACTCATATAGGCTACGAGCAGATCCTGTCGTACAATAAGTCATGTATAAATAGTGAACATAGACATTTGATCAAACCTTCGCCATCGTGCGCAAATCGCCAATCATCTCCTGCCTGCCTAGCTGAAGCGTCGTCTTGGCTATGTATCGCGCACCGCTAGAATCTATGTTGGCCACTACCGCAGCATACGACGGCGTTTGACTGCCCGGAGCAGGATGCATGACATCCGCACCTGTACACTCCATCAGCTACGCTACGACGCATTATAATTGACTTACCCATGACAATCGTTGGCTGTCGGGGATCGGAAAGTGTAGCTGCTGCCGGGATGACATTGACACCACCCAGCTTTGCATTAATCCTACAGAAAGTTCAGTCGTTCAGTCTCCCCATCCAAGGATCGAGGATATTGTAAAACATACTTCAGTGCGACGTTTGCCCAGTACTGATCTCTAGCGTTTCGACATTTACCAACCCGAAGGCATTGGTTAGCGACGCCCCTCTGTAAAAGAAAGTCAGTAAACAAAACAACGAACAACAAAAGTCGCTGTCCACAGACCTTAACATCACCACAGCTTAAGATGGCACTCATCAATAATTCTTCTAGATCTGGAAGCGATAACTGTACTTACTGTTTAACTGCCGTGTACAAGTCCGCGTTACTCCCATCAGGAAGGATACACACAATAAAGACTGGTGTCGTTTTGCGCTCATTTCGACATTGCGTAACCGCGTCCACGATAGACTATCAAAAGGCATTAGCGTTGCGTCACAAGTCTCAATCGCTGTCTACAGGCCTTATCAACGTTACTCTGGGGGTTCCTGTAGACAAAGAGTGGTTGTTTATCTTGCACCGGCATGCCTGGAAGGATAGTCAGGACCTGAAACCTTTCCGAAAGCGAAAAGTATAGCTCACCAACAGCTTCGCATCCACGAACAAGCCCGGTTATTGTTCTTTTCGCATCGTCTGGACTAAAGCGATTCTGTGGAACGAATATCACGACCATCCAAACCCCGAAAGACATCGGCCTGAAAAATTTCTTGTCCACACTGGGAAATGTCAGATCATGCAAACTTTTTGGTGAGGAACTGGTACTTACAGGTTCCAAGCTCCATCCCTCGGTCGCTGACAAGCAATGATTTAGCGAGAAGGTTTACGTATTCCAATAAGTCAAATACTCACCACCAACTCTTGCTTGGATCCTTGCCCGTATTTGAGCTCCGGTGCGTTGAGTATCCGTGCTGGAATATCCATGGGTAAGGAAGCGCTCTTGATGTCTAGTCCAAAATCGCGGACGTATTGGGATTGTCCATACGCAAGAACCTGAGGGAACATGAGTAAATAGCATTAGTAGAACAAAAAATGAACCTGAATCCCAGTCTGGATTGCCCTCAATCGATCATCGGGTTTCTTCGTCGCAAACTCAACCATGGCTCGTGTAGCATCCGGGGATAGTTCAGCACGAGAAAGCTGACCGCGTAAAATGTAACATCGCTCTAGAGGTATCACGGCACCTTTCGCAGTCTAGCAGACAGTCAACATGTTTCCTGGGCTACGACAATATAGTTCATACCTGGATGCATATAATATTGGCATACCGTAGAGGCCGATTGGCCCGAGCGTAGTATTGCGCCACGTTAGTCTGTGCACCACCAGCCGGAGTGAAAACAGTCGAAGCAGCGTCCCGCTCAGACAGTTTGTGGATGGGATAAACTTTCTTGATACCTGCGGCCGATTCGGCCTCCACCTTGAGGCCAAAAAGAAATGTTTGCAGACGACGTCTCTGCAGCGGAGGTAACGCCTGAGGTCCAGATGTTCGTAAATAGCTGTCTGGATTGTTTTTGCGATTCCCGGTGAAGAATTCAAGACAGGTTTCCATTAGCGAACCAGGTTTGAACATCACGCCGGTGGAAATATCGATATTGACGATCAGACGATTCAAAGCGGGCCTAACCGACTGAAAGTACCCTTGCCAGGCTTCTAACCCTGTATTGGCTAGCGGCGCCTTGATCTTGTCACTATAGAACGAGCGCACTCGGAATGGATAGGTGAGAGATGGCTCCATCCGAATCACAATGTTCAAGGCCTAGAGAGTTCGAAGTCACGTCACGTAGTCAACGAAAACGACGCGTACTGTAAGAGCAGTAGATATGTTTTCGTCCCACGACTGCTGACCAGCCGCGTATCTGCTAAGCACTCTACGGACAATCAGTTCTTATCTTACTCAATAGATGAATGAGAGTTACTCCATGTTAATCTCTCTCGCCTCCGTGACGGTGACCTTGAAATTGGACACGCGAGAATCTTCCGATATAGTCACGTTGAACTGCATTCATTAAGATAAATCATACAATTCGATGGGTCAAGAAACGTACCTGGCGAGAATTCCCAGTACCAAAATCCAACCTGTGGCTCGTATACAAATTCTTCTTCCCATCATACACAGCTGCTTTGATAAAAACATCGGGGTACTGCTTTTGCAGAGCCACGATTAACTTCAAGTTAAACGCCGCCCGGAGTGTCTTGTCAATCACTAGAGAAATCAAAGGTCGTTCGTTCTATAGATTCGATGATAGATCTTGAAGATACGAACCAACTAGAAACATGTTAGCCACCGCGACGGAAACAAAAAAAAAAAAACTTTACCGTCATAATGGTAAACAGTGATGTCAGGGACATTCATTTCGCATGCATTTACGCGAACTGTAGTTGCCCTACCCGCCGTACCGAATCCTGGACGACGAACACCGATGGCCTCTACAGCAGCTTAAAGAATCAAACGATAAGGAATTAAAACAACAATAATAGATTTTTTTCTTTCTAAACATCGCAGAACTTACATGCAACAGAGACGCTGGGACCGCCTTGTCGCCCAGCGGCTCCTCCACCTCGTGCGCCACCTCGCCCTCGAGGAGTTCCTCCACGCTGCGGGGTAGCAGGGTAGGGAGACCCTCCTCGTTGACCGGGTGCCATTCGCGGGGGTGTCATCTCGATAGTAAATGCAAAGCAGAAAAAAAGGTTAGATGAGTGTTCAGGAAGGCGATCCTGCGCTGATTCTAATCAGAAGTATTCCCTTTATATCTCGTGGCTGGCCGCGATGCCGACAGGAACGTGCAAAGCTACCGGGTATAGCCGGCGCTTTGTTCGCTCCGTATCAACCAATCAAGACAGACAAGAACAAGGGTAAGAAGTTGTCAAGGACGACGCGTGTGGTACATGACTCTAGTAACTTAACAAAGGGATCAAAAATAATATCTGTAGGTCCCTTCATGTGCTATAACTTACAATGACAGACCTTACGCTTTCTATATCCCGGATTCAAGATTCAAAAAATTTGAAGACTGAAGATACGCCGGCAGAAACATGTGCGGTGTGAATGAGGAGATTGACGCAAGGAACCCACGAGAACAATAACACCGCGTCCAAGGGCAGCTGATATCGGGACTGACCAATAAGCATCGAAGAACAGTATTCTATAACACATAAATGCATCACAACGAGGCAACTCCCTACATACGTAGGAAACCGGCCAACAGCCTCGTGTAGCATCAGGTGGAGAAATAGGAATGGTTCTGTGAAAAGGAAGGGCTGCACAAACAAAGCCAACCGCATAGAAGAGAAGGCAGATGGTCTGCTCTGTGGGCCTCATGATCAGACGTAGCCCATTTGCAGGTTTCCTATCGCCCCGAGAGAGAACATCGTATGGTGCATTTCGCAGACATAGCGGAACACCAGAGGAGGCAAATTCTATCAAGAACGAAAGCACTGAAAGGAACTTGAAGATGCCAGGTACCATTCATCTTCGAGTAAAAATACGACGAGCCGAGGGAGCCGATATGACAGTAGTCAGGAGAAGGCATGACAGTTGCTGCGTGAAGATAATAGAGAAAATGGATGACAAGCGTGAGAGCAGCAGAGCAATAGCACTGGGTATTTTTACCCTGTTATGTGGAGACCAGATCAATTATTAATGATAGGACGGAAGACAGTCAAGTCACGGGTCGAAAGATAGGCCAGACGATCTTGCCGAGTCATTTAAGACGGTCAAGTAAGTGATGTACCTCGGTCGCTCAGCATACAGTTCCAGCTTGGAGAAACGCTTACAGATTGAATAAATGTTACATTTTAAAAATGCATCCCAATCCCTGTTCTATAGCCCGACTTCAATCATAGGCCACTGGCCATTAAACTGCCTCATCTCCGACCTGATCCTTACCCCATTCCTTTTCAGGATCTGACTCCCTTTCTGTAAGTCTCTCATCCGACGACGTTGACGCCCCAGAATCTTCATGGATGTCAAGACGCATGGCGGGGAACGTGCTAGTCGGGTCAAGAGTGCGGTTGAACTCTAGAATTGACCTGGGCGGTTCTTGCCACATCGTCGCAGGCCTTGTACTGCCACATACTACTTGCGCAACTATAAGTGCGGGAGCCAATCCCTGTAGACGATCCGATTAGATTTCAATGACTCATGCGCGAACGGAATCAACCTCACAGTAACGGTAGATGTAATAGATATAGGAAAATTGGCGTCGAGACCTCCCTGTTTGTAGAATGCCAACGTGACAATCATGGATACGGCGTACATAGCAGCCGACTCGATCAATGTACAGATGACCTTGCTGAACTTGTAAGACCGATGGGACTGGAGCTGGGTGAGTTTATCTGTTCTGCGATGCGCATTCCAAATCCTGAAGACGATAAGCGTGGTGCAACCAACGGTTACCGCCACCGATATACACATGTACGGCAAGAGCCAGTCGATCTGAGCTGCGCTCCACGCGCTCCCTGGTGGTGGCGTCGTCGCTTGCTGATACATACTGAAGCCAGCGAAAACTAGAATTTACGAGTCAGAAAACGACCAAAAATACGGAACGCGCAACCGCATGCCTATCCCGACGATATTGCACAGCGAGGGTATCACAGCGACTATCCACTTCTGTTCCCAAACGGTCCAGCAGCGCCAAACCTTACGTACTTCGACTTCAACTCTTGGAAACATTTTATAAAACGAATTGACGGTGACTTACTACGACAAAGTCGGCTATAATCGTGTTGAGAGTAAATGAGACGGAGCTGATAAGCATCCATTTCGGTGCGTTGAACAGATAATCAAATTGTGTCTCGTCCGTTTGGCCATGACTGATGAACGCTCCTCGGACATAGCACCACCGAACTATCAGGTGCGTGGTGGCGATAAGGTACATTGTAACAATCACAGCGCCCATAAAGATTCGCGCCCTGTGTTTCTCATTCACAGCTAGGAATCACAGGTCAAGACAGTGAAAAGAAAAAACCCAATCACGACGTAGCACACCTATCATCCACAGAGTAAACACGACTACCGTAGTGTAAATTCCTACACATCCATGTTAATGAATGATTATCCTATCTGCAAAGAAAAAAAAAAGCTACGAACCATGCGCCAGCGACTCCATCATGGTCACATTCAGCATAGTATTGCGGAATTCCAGCTCGAACTCTGGAGAAGACGACATGATGACTGGGGGAGAGATCCAAGCACTGTAGAACCGCAGGTACTTCAATTATATGGCCCTCCGTGGAGCGCGCACTGCCCATACCCGGCATCGGCACCTATGACATCGGAGTATTTGACTGGCCGAGACTCTTGGCAGAACTGGAAACTCGGATTCGCACTAGTTCGAGAGGTAAAATCTTGGGCGGCCTCTCGTCGATGGCATCAAAGAGATAACGCACATTTTGAAGCAGAGGGTGATATGGGAAGCAAGGAAAGAAGCCGGGCCGATAAGCCGATCGGTGCAGGCTGTCAAATAAACTTGACAGCAACTTGACCGTGTGAGAGCGAAGGAAGACACCGACCATCTCTGAGAAAAGTAGATTGTTAGCCTATCGGAAAACACGCTATCCACCTTTCTACAATGAATGTAATAGTAAATCGCGTTTACTGGACTTAATTAAGCAGTAGCTCAAACTGAAGGGGAAAGAGCCCCGCATTGCATAAAGGACTTACCTGATGATGGCGTCAATATCCTCCCCCCCTTGCCCCACTATAATTATCGACACTGGATTAAAAAAAGCGCTCCGCTGTTGTGTGAGAAAACGACAGCTACACCAGGCATATCTTTCTCCTCGTATCCATGATGGAAGAAATAATGAATGATGTGATGATCACGAACGTTTTTTAAGAGTGAGGCGCATGCATACAGGAAATAAGCAGAGTCCGAGATGCATCTTCTCAGAGTTCTGAACCTGATGATGTGAGAATTACTAGCGTAGTAAAGCGCGACAACATCATACCACCATTGTGAATCCGAAAGGACGCATGGGCATTGGCGATAGTTCATCGCCATGACATGGCAGCGACTTCCTAAATCAGACTGTATTCAGATTTTCAGGGATGGAATGATCCCTAAAGGCTCTGTAATCGATGGGAGAGAGACGCTCGCAATTTACAGCTACTAAGCGCTGGGAAAGTCTTGTTACTATTTTTGGGATGACCAAGCGCCTCGAGGCGATGAAAACGGAGCCGCCAAACGGTCGATAAGTAGACCATATGAATCTAACAGAGCAGGTCGCCGAATCTGGACGGAGACGAGTCCCTTGAGTGATGCGGTCCTAGGCCAGTTCTATAAGTAGCATGGTTCTACAGAAAAAGGTACGGAAAGTACGCAATGGCCCAGGTAAAGCACCAAAGGTAGAACTAACCTGGTCATGCGCGGAAAGTCAAATGTAGCAGGCGGGACTAAAGGGTTTTTCCAAACTAGGCACTGAACGCCTCTGCTCTGATCGCATGAAGAAACCTAGGCATGGCTCTATCGGCAAAGAATCATTCCTGTATCGCGAGACACTGCCACAGATAGAACTCGACAAGGCGTAACAAAAAAACCGAATGATGGATTAAAAAATTAATACGATCCGCTTGCCACGAACGTGGGACCACTGAAACGGATTGGCATCAAAATGCGAATTAGATAAAAAGAACAAACAAAACGTACGAGAACTTTATTTGGATTCAAGCGTTGACGCCTGGCGGCTGGTGCGATGGACCTGAGACAATACAAAAGTCCTGGCGGAATTCATTCGTATCAAGGATCGGGTAAATTTTTCAGGGATGGACAGCCCCGACTTAATTGCCCCTTGACAGGTCCTAGGTACGGGTACTAATCAGATCTCGTGTTTTTCTCGGCCTCGTAATGGCATGAGGAGCACCAGCCAACTCTGTATGAAACCTTAGAACTGAAGCATAGTCAGAAGTGTTGATACTATCAATAATGTGATAGCGTAGACCTACTGAACGACGTGAGCAAGCAAAGAACCAACCGAATAATTTAGGTTACCGTCGACTGAGGTTTCGGAGCGTCTGAAGGATTCAAGGCTAGTAAGAGCATGGCAGAAGAGGTAAGAGAGACGGCTAACCCTAACCCAAGATTGTGCGCCGACCCATTGCCGAACTATCGGGCTTTAAACTGGTGTTATGATCGAAGCGTGTTCGATCCCGGTAGCGAGTGCATTTACGACGCGAAGCTTGAAGCCTAGCACCCTTTGCGCGCCGTCATTGGTACCACCGTGAAGGGAATCAAGCCAAGCAGAAAGGCTGTTCAAATCAAATCAGTATTTGCGCCCAAGTTATGATCGAGACGAGTACATTTATGAACTGAAGCTAGCACCCATCCTTGACTTGCGAAGCCCCTCGTGAAAGGAATCAAGGAAAAAAGGTGCGAAGGCAACAGAGATATGGTATCAGTAAATGGTATCTATAAGTACGCGTGTAAGCTGCTGCCGTAATTGGACCCTAGCAGCTATACAGACGCGTGGGTGGCGCACGAACAAAAAGAAGTTTTGCAGAGGGAAAAGAGGAAGGAGAACAAGAAGGAAATTAATTAGTAGCAACAAGTCCACAGTACAAGGTAAAGTTAAGTGAACAGTATAAACAAAGCCCCGGTATATCATTCATTCGCAACCTGCAAAGACATCAGCGCCAGAAAACAAAAGTAAAAAAATAAACCGACCTTGAGGATCTTCGGCCTCCCATCGTCCAGTTCCGGCTGGGGTTGCTGGCCACCTTCGTAAGAATTCGGAAGGACAAACCCAGGCTGATAGTGACTAGCATAACTCTCCCCGGGACTTGTCGGGGAAGTGGCGGTGCTGAGCAACGATTGGGATCCCTGCCTCGATAAATCCGACGTCGTAGTGTCAGGGTACGATTGCGGTGGCGACTGCTGCCGTTCCGGATACAGGGGTTCACCGTAGGCGCCATACGCCGCTTGGGGTGCCACAGGGACTGTGTTATTGACGTCGGTGTAGTACCCTGGATGCTGCGGCGCTCCAGCCTGCATGAACACAGGATACGGCGAGGCTCCTTCCCCTGCATTCAGCCATCCCCCGGCCCCAGGAAGACCACCCATGCTCCTCGTCCTACTCACCCCAATTCCAGCCTGTCCGTAATCAGTCGCAGCAGGAATCTCGCTCATTCCATAGCTCTCTGTCGACATGGGGTTCTGCGCGTACGTGCCATGACTGGACGCGTCCGAGAACCCACCACCACCACCCACCATCTTGTTGCGAGTAGGAAAGTCGTCGTCGTCGTCGAGGTATACAGGTACGGGACCGGGAGCAGCAGCAGCCGCTTCTGCAAGCTCTTGGTCAAATTGTCGTGCGCGACGTCGGCGGATGGTCGTGGTAACGAGAACTACGAGAAGCGCGACGCCGATCAGTCCGACGACGGTGAATACACCCGCGACTGCGCCTTTGTTGTTCCAAAATCTGACCGGTGGGAATTAGTCGGAGTAATGTAGGAGGAAACGAACAGACGCACCCCCCGCTGGAACTCGAACTGCTGCTCGACGCGGCTGCTGCTGCTGCACTACTGCCTGTTGCTGCCCCAGTACTTGAAGTAATCGGGATCACCGTGGTCACCGTCGTGATCCCTCCAGTATCATTTGTTGTAATGATTTCGCTCGTCGATGAGCTGCTTGAGGTGGTGGTAGTAATAACGGGTGTTACGGCGGTTAAATCGGTCGTACTCGAGGTAGTCTCCGTATTCAAGGTGGTAGACGAAGTGGTAGCAGTCGTCAACAAAGTGGTGCTGGATGTCGTGCCAGTAGTGCTCGTTGTTGATATAGTCGACGAAGACGACGTTGAGGTCGTCAAAGCTGTCGAGGTCGTCGAGGTTACTGTAACCGCCGAGGTCGACGACGATGTCGTGGTCAAGGTCGCCGTTGTCTGTGTCGCTGTGGCTGTGTCGGAGGTCGACGTGGTGAGATCGGTCGTCGACAGCGACACACTCGCACTCGTGGTGGTTTCCGCTAAGCCACATCAGCTTCCTCGTTGTCAGAAGGAGAGAAAGCACATACACATCTTAATTTTCAAGGTCTTTTCAATCCATACAAAAAGTCAAGGAAAGACACTAGTGGGAAACACAAACCGAAGAAGAATGAAAGAGGGTCGGTGCAAAGACGTGCGTGAGTAATTTTTTTTTGCAAATGTTCCCATGCACGCAACTTACGTAAATTCCTTCTGATATCGAATCGGGGTCTCGTGCGTTGCTTGTGGCTTGGTCGTTTTTCGTTCTTTCGTCGTTGCAGGTCGTAAAAAGTGGTGAAGTTGAAACAAGGGTCAAATAAGCAGTGTCATCAAAATGACAGGGATAATTATTGTGTCTCCGGTCTCTAAAATGTCGGGTCGCCACGACGACGGGGTCAATTTACTACCGACGGCTGCAGCGATCGAGACGTGGAGGAGGGGGGGATGCAAGGGGGACGTATAGGAGCACAACGTACTAAGATTATCGTTGACGTCCTCAGGGTCACATATTCTGGGGTATTTTAGGAGCTCGTCTGCCTAAATAAAATAGTCGCCCCCCCACCCCCTGGAACTCGCGATTACTCCTGGGCTCAGATATCTCTTTACGTCTCCCTCGCTGTTGGTGCTCGTCCCAAGCTCCGTGGATTATGCGTATCGATCAACTGCGGATTTCACCACGCGCTGCATTACATGCTGATCATCACACGGCCTCACTGGTCACGCATGGAAAGTTATTTTGGCGCTACGCTGTTCTTCATCAACCTTCAAGTTACCTTCTCGCTCCTCCTTGGATGCAGCAGCAGCATCCTCCTTTACAAGCTCCGACCAGCACGCAATTTACTTTCGACGTACTAATCAATCTGCCATTGATTGATTATTACGCAGTCTATGGGCAACACATCGATGGCGCTGATGAACTTTGTTGGGATCCAAAGATCGCACTTCTAGACCGGAAACGTTTTCCAAACTGCTTCCCCCTTGGAGTATGACATGCGAAAGAGAAGACCAGCTGTACACCGGTTCAACCACTTCCGACCCGAAAGTATTATTATACTCGCATCCATTTCGAAAAGCTGATTTCACGAATAACATTGTTGAACCTGTCTGGACGGGAGAAGCTTTTGTCTGAGCTGCGGCCTATTCATAACGAGCAGGGAATTTTATCTAAAGCGATCGAATATGTCATTTGTGGAAACTAGACTGTTCACCAGAAGACCTAGTCGAGCTCGAGCTGGTGCCAGTTACGAAAAGAGAGAATTTGTGAAGGTACGTGAATTTAAATTCGTCACTGTTTCATCACTTACCATCGCTTAGTATGTAATTTGTTTTTGTCCATTTTCTATCGGTTGTTATGATTTAAGCCGTGGTATGTGAAATTTCCTGCCTTCTGGTCCATTCCCCTGCTAACAAGAGACGGCGAATTCGACGAAACCACGTTCTGCCTCTAGAGCTGAACTAGAGCTTCGGGCCGACACCGTATAATACGGTTGTACGGGTGCTTTCATATGGATACCGTAATCGCGCCGTCGAGAGCTTGAGGTGCCCTATTAACAGCGGTATGCGGCTTACGAGAAATCAATATATCACTCCTGTGCCCACACGGGCCGTCATGAATACAAAAGATCTCAATGGCTATCGTAGCAGCGGCGCCGAAGATATTCTAGTCCCTGTTTCTTATCAACAAAAATTACGAAACATCAGTGAGGAGTATCCTCCTTTTCCAGTTTCCTGAACTTACTGTTAAAGAAAGAATAAATACAAGTACAAGTTAGTTTGGTGTCCCAGCGGAAAAAGGATCGGCCGATTAGCGACTTGAACTCATCACTGGTCCGATGAAACCCGACAGGTTAGCTTGTTACGTATTATGACCTACTTGCGCCCCGATCTATATCTATCGCCAAGCTGCGGTCCGATATCCTATCCAGCCTCATAGATAGGCAAGTGTTTTGAGAAAATGTTCAACAAATTCCGCACTTGATCAAGTGAGGTATCACTCTAATCGGGGCGGGCCTGAGTCCGGTCAGACAATGAATAGGGCAAGAGAATTCCAATACTTTACTATGTAGTTACATCTTTATATTCGTGGGCAGGAGCAGGAACTTGTCGATGAGGGGCGGAGGAAGGCTGAGTGGCGCCGGCGGAGGACCGACGATGTCCTCGGGTCCCTTGACGACTTTATAGCATGGCTTGTGTGGGTCGGTTCGAGGGCGGAGGCTCCATGTGGTTCGCACTGCACATAGCCAGCTTATGTGGCATGATGCAACTACCTACCTTGGGTATGCGACTTGTCATTGCATGGGATATCACTTGATGAGTTTTGCGTATACCAAGTAGCCACGATAACAGTATATAGCATCCTAGGCTATACATAAGTCTCCAACGGACTTGCTGGTGGGCTCATCGATAATGACGGCCTTCCAACTGGTTGTTCGTTGTCTTACGAAGTCTACAGGATTGCGGAGATCCAAAAATCACTGTCGAGCTTCTCAGCAACTTTGAGTTCAAGCTTCCTAAAGACGTGGGGCTACTGGACGCGCCGGGGACGCAAAGTTGTCTTCCGATTGTTACGGGAAAGTTGGCTGATGGCACTCAAGTTCCATTGCAGATAGTTCCTTTGTAACTTCAATGACAGTAGCGAAGGGAACATGATTCAGATGAAATGTCAAGATTTACGACAGTTGTGTTGTATTATACGTACATACCGCGCTTTACAATGTAGGTACAGATCGAAAACTATAGCAGTAACAAAGCAACGATAGCATTACGAGAACACAATAAAGACTCTAGACAATTAATTAAGAATACACTAAGAAAGCGCCACAACGGACAAAAAAACAAAGAACAGCTATACATAGCACGATAGCGACAGAGCAATTAAACGATGTAATGCATACTCCAATCCTTCTAAACGAATGCTAGCTCTTGACAGTATCAAGACGGTGAACTCGCTTCTAGTTTTTACTAGCGCAAATCACCAGCGAAGTGCAGCCCTTCAGCCGCTCAGCGCCACGAAGCCGACATGTCATCATACTCATTCCCGAAACAACCATCACTGTACCATGAACTATCCATTGAGTGGACAGACGACTGTGAACTTGCGGCGGAGTTACAGGGCTCCCGAGCGGCCGAGCCTCGAGGAGCGATGTGGAACAAGTTCATCTTCATTGCGCCCGGGGAGGGATAGGGATTCGATTTCGACTCATGTCCACGGGTACTGCGGCGGGAACGCTTACGAAGGCGCTTCATCCCATAAGGGTCCCTTACATTCAAGGTCCAGTATGACCCAGACCCTGGATCGGTCTTCTGTCGTTCGACCTTGACGTAAAAAGACTCGAGAGAGAGGAGGTGCCGGATGCTATTCTGTTGGTACGAAGATTAGCTTGTGAACGGGAGGGGGAGGGAAGAATCGAAAAGAAAACGCACTCTCCAGGCTTTGTTCTCCTTCCTGTACCAATCAAACCGATCCTCTATCGCTTGCAGGATTTGGTTCAAGGTGGCTTCGTGTCGTGGATGGCCGTAGATGGCGAGTCGGGTGAGCTGGGAGTTTGTATACTCGGGGCGCTCTCCGGGAGCGGGATCTGGGAGAGCGTCGAGGTTGACGGGGACGTGAGGGGGTATGTTGAACTGCTCCCGAAGAAACGCTTCGGCGTCGAGGACTTGTTTCCCCTGATGAGCTGGAGAGTCGATGTGGGAAATGAGGTTGGTGCCAATGGTAGAGGATAACGAAGGGCCAGAGTGCCATCGATGGATCTGAGGAAGGTTTAAGCTTGATAGTGGTGGGAGCAGAAATTGATGCGGAGAGTGGTGACTGTCAGCGTTAAGGGTGAGGCGGCCGGATGACTCGTGCTGAGCGTGGAATGGAGACGGAAAGGCGTAGCGCGCGCCTCTAGTAAAGGAAAAGTTGTCAACGTGTGATGTTGGCACAAGCGGTGGATCACTGGGGGGGTGAGACAAGACTGGATGATCATGCGTATCGTCCGGTCCTAAGGTGTAGCCCAAATATCGCTGCATAGGCGGTTCAGTAGAATGATTTCCTGGGAAAAAAAAAAAGACAGGCTCACATCGTGACGCGCATGTGGTCGATATATGAGAGAAGGCGCCGTGGTGATATGAATTGGGAATAAGGTGCGCTGGGCTGCTGGCGATAGCGGATCAGTCGGCGAGGGGAAATTTGAATATGGCACTGTCCCAGCATCTTCGAGGGCGTCTCGAATGGGTGCGCTTTGACAGGGTGGACACATATTCTGGAACCATCAAGGACCCACAGTACCAAATGCGGATTCGTTGCGATGGCCCGAAGTACGACAAGGACAGGCAGCAAGTGATACACGGACAGGCGACGTTGTGGGGCAAAAACAAACACATAAAAAGATTGGCGTGCGTCATGAATGGAACGTTGTGAAACATACGAAGGATATTGGTTAGCTGCCGAGCTTAGATAGTCTTTCTGTGCATGGAATATGAAGCCGGACGGAGGTGCAGCGATTGTACAGTGGGTTGATGGGTATTTAGGGACCCATCTATGTGTTCATTCCATGGCAGGTTATCCTTTTAACGCTTGTTACGATTGATATTTTCCGGTACCCGACGAATTAGTTCCGGTAAGCCCGAGGTTTTAGGTGGTGGGAACAGGACCCACGTATCAGATCCGTGGTTTGGGACAAAATTGCTTTGAACGGAAGGTTTCAAATGTAACGCGTACACGCATGGGGGTGCAGTAGATCATAGCCAGGATAGGAATGTCGATCATTGTTTAATATACGCCAAGGAACAAGTTAAACAGAAATCTCAGCGGCACAGTAGAAAGCGTCACCACATAGTCATCCAATGATCAGAATTTTCATAAAGTTCTCCTGTAACCGGTTCTGAGTAAGCGAAATGAAAAAAAATAGGTTAATGCAGACCCTTGGATATTTCAGAGCGGTAGTGAGGCACAAAAGCAAGTACACCATCCAACAGCGTTTGAAAGACAAGGGCCAGCTCGCCAAGAAATATTGGGACTTAGCAACACCCGGACAGTTACTCAGAGCTACCGAATAAGAAAGAGCGCGCAGGATACGATGCAACAGACGTGAGCTTGTTGGTCAAGAAGCAATGGAAAACGCCTTGGAAACGCGATCCACACCGGGCCGAGCAGCCGTTTCTGGCCGCGGCATCTTCCGCTCGATGGTTCGCTACCTTTCCTGGACATGTATTCTGACTTGAATTCTCTGCTGATTTTGGTACCACCCGAGTACTGTCAGAAAATGAAAATGCACTTTTGTGCCACATTCTCGATCCTCTCAGACTGACTGAGTCATAAACTGATGATCTGAATGAGAACTCCAGGCAGCATAGCACAGTGGTAGCACACAGGGCTCATAACCCTGAGGTCACTTGATCAAAACAAGTTGTTGCTGATTAGCTGGCAGTGTCTTTTTGTGCATGGGCCTTTCTTATTGCTCCAATCAGTTCAGTCACTATCATGACATCCTTCATCTTCATTCTCTTGGAAGAAGGGCTGTCTCATTTGCATGATCCTCACTGCCTGAAAAGTTATGATCAATTCTTTGATTTTCACTCCACTGATTATCAATCAAGTCTCTTTTCAGTTTCAGATCAATACAGGAGGTGGGCTTCTATTCTAACAGTACTCTTTGTGTAATGAGATATCATTCATATAGCATTGTCTTTCATGCACTTATAAATGGGTAAGAATTCCAGAAATACAGCAAATTAAGTTCATGCTGGACTTAAAAAAGATAGATCTATTTACAGTGCCCATTCTCCAATACTTAGAGATATAGGTGCTTTGACACTTCTTTCTTTGTTATGTTCCTGCCTTTGTCAGTTTCAAATGCCACTGAAACAGAACTGGATACAGAAAAAACAAAGAGAGTTTCTGAATTAATTTAGAGACCAGAATGTTTCATATAAAAAGAACTGGTAAGTCCCAGCCTATTTTACTTCTGCCCTCCTCTCTTTCCCCCAATAGAATGCCTCTCCTCATCAATGTCTCTGAGAAATCAGATAACTATAACAGTCCAAATGACAACAGCATAGCCTCTGCATTCAAAACAGCCCTCAGCTCCAGCATCACCTCTCTTTTATCTTTTGACAATAGTATTCCAGCACATTTGCTGCTGAATGAACCAGTCTCCACTCAGTACAAAGATACCTCTGGTTCATCAATGGTGGCAGCTGCCAGCTATCTTCCCACATCCACAAGGCCAACAGGAGCTACCATCACTACAATCAATACTGGCATATGAGCTTGATTGTATCGTTCTCAATTGCTACTCACCAAGACTGGATGCCAGTGTCATTGCCATTCCAGTGGATGTAGCACATAATCATGCTCCCTTGCCAGAACCACTTTTACTATCTGATGAACCATGCCAATGGCACTGCAATGCCATTAACAACATTTGCCCTCAATTGGCTGACACCAGCTCATCAAACTTAAATCCAGTGGCAGATAGTGGTATGTGTAGTTACTTATCAGAGCTGGTCTTGATGGATGTACATTCATCTCTAACATCTTCCTTTGCAGAAATAGAGTCAAATCACAATACAGTAGCATCAAGCAACAGGCAAATATCCACTCTTGACCAGGATGAGAAGGATGAGAAGCTTCTGTCAGATAAGCTAGCATCGGAATTTGATGAACACAGTGATGGAGTTTAGGTGCTGATGGTTCAGAAGGAGAGCATATTCCTTCTCTTCTATGTGAATGGCTCCGTGTATGCCCTTCCATCTTACAGCACTTCATTGGAAGCGCATTATTTCTCCGCCCTGAATAACATGTAGCCTCATTTGGTATCATTGTATGTGTACAAGCGCTGCTTTCCAATGTAGGATATGGTCTTGCCTCATGGTGACACTTCTATGTAGATAACATAGCTCTATAGTGCTTACCGCTCAATCGATACTCATCGGCTGCATGGTGGATGTGTTTCCATTGTTCTCGTAGGTACCGATCCCATTATCCACTTAGGGCTGTCCACTCTCACCATATTGTACCATAATATGGCTTCTGTGTATGGTGTATGTGCCGATTCCGTGAGCGTCTCCAGCTATACTATACAATATGGCTGTCGACGGCCATATATCTGTGGCAGTGCTACAATACATTTCTGAGGTTGGTAAATGCTCTTGAAGATGGACTAGAATAACTCACCATCATATTATGTAGGTCCCTGACAAGTTAGGCCCTTCCGCGACTCAAAGTATGACATGCAAGGCACTACGACATCACTAAGTAATCCTTGAAGTCTTTTGGACAGGGCCAAAACGGTCAATTTCATGCCCAGAATGTGTTCTAAAGACATCGAAATGCAAGGTATATTAGTCTCATGGCATCTAGAACTAAAGTCGAGTTGATTATAGGTACATACCTGGTAGACATGAATATAGCCGTATATACCACTGTCACGGCTGTAATTATACGGTCCGAAACCGTCAGTGTCCTGACCATAACGGTTACGGACGGTGCGCAGCCCTATATCCACTGGCACCGTACGCTTAGTTCTGTCAGCGTAACTTCGAAAGTTCGCTCTGAGATCTTTACATCAGTACAGCTTTGGATAGAGAAAGCGGAAGATGTCGTATATCCTCATCACTTCAAAGACGCCGAGACATACAAAATTTATTTTTATAACTCTCGAGTCATATACCACATGCAGGTCATATGAACACTCCTTCGCAACTTCTTACCCTTGTTCTATTCATTGCCGAGCGGCGAACAAGCAGGGCCGATTCTATCCGATAGGCTGTAGGAGTCATCGGCACCTCGGCTATCCACGATATAAAAGGACGTGTCCTTTCATTTGATCGAACGTAGGATCGCCTTCCTAACAACCATCTACATCTATTCTACTCTACATTTTCTGTGAACATGACGTTTCCACGAACGGCACCTGGCCACCGAGGAGGATCTCCACATCAGCGTGGAGGGCCTCTTCGAGGGCCAGTTGGCGTGCGAGGTGGAGGAGCCGCTGGGGGACAAGGCGGTCCCAGCGTCTCCGTCCCATGTAAGTTCTGCGATGTCTAGAAAGAAAAATCCATTATTGTTCTTCAATTCCTTATTGTTTGATTTTTTAAGCTGCCATAGAGGCTATCGGTGTACGTCTTCCAAGATCCGGGAGTATGGGTGGAGGAGTCGCTGGGCGGCGTCCAGGATTCGGGACCGTGGGAAGGGGAACTCGCTGGGATCTGAACATTCCGGTTTATCATTACGATGGTAAATTTTTTCTCTCTTTCTATCACGGTGGCTTACATGTTTCTAGTTGGTTCGTATCTTCAAGACGTATCATCAAATCTATAGAATGACCTTTGATTTCTCTAGCGATGGAGAAGGAACATGAGGAGACTTTCAACTTACGGCTGATCGAGGCATTGCAAGCCCAGTATCGCGGTGTATTCACCAGAGCAGCTGTTTATGATGGCCAGAAGAATTTGTATACTCGCTACAAGCTAGATTTTGGTGCCGGGAATTCTCGCCAGGTACGTTTCTTGATCTGTCAAATTGTACGATTTATCTTAACGAACGCAGTTCAACGTGACTATGGTTGAAGGGACTCGAGCATCTAATTTCGAGGTTACCATTACAGAAAAACATGGGGTAACCTTTATTCATCTATTCAGTAAGATAAGAACTGATTGTCCATGAATTGCTTAGGAAAGTGAGATGAACGAACGTAATCAGAACTGAGGAAGTAAATAAACAAAGGCTCGTAGATACCATTGGGATATCGCACGGATACCATACATACCGAAATATTTTAATCCTCTCACCACTTTGAAGTTTGAGTTTGAGCAGTCAATTTATAATAGCGGGATGTACGAAGTTGAGGTGAAGAAAAGAACTTGAAGGTGCGAACAAAACTAGTTTTGATGATGTCATCAGTGTTTCGATGTCTAGCATACGAGTCTGCTTGCGTGCCTCAAAATCTTTCAGCGCTACTTGCCTGTTGTTCTTACGCTTACCACTGCGACAATCTCTGATGTCCATGTTTATGCTATGCCTTCTGTTGAAGGTGTTCATATTCGCTTACTCGGTTCTCCGCGCACTGAACACCGAGTAACTGATAGATGGTGCCAGACGAATGGTGGCGTGGGTATCTTCACCTTTACCTTTGCTTTCTGTGCTTTTGTCCTTGACCAATCCGATACCAGAGATGTTGGTCTATCGGACAGGCACCTAGTGCTCCATTACTAAGCGGCTTGCGTCCGCCCATACTTCCTCTCAGCATGATAGGAAACTTGGGGGACTGCTGCATCTGATCAGACACGCACGAGAAGACGAAGGGCTTCTCTTCTATATGGACGGCATGCCCTTCCTTTTTTCCGGACCGCAGCACCTCATTAGCATTATTTCTCCGTCCTGATATCACATGTAACCTCATGTTATATGTGCACAGGCGCCGCTTTCCAATGTCGGATATATTTTTGCCTCGTGGTGATACTTTATGTACTCTTAGTCCTGTCACTCGGAGAAAGCGGAAGATGTCGTATATCCTCATCACTTCAAAGACGCCGAGACATACAAAATTTATTTTTATAACTCTTAAGTCATATACCACATGCAGATCATACGGACACTCCTACGCATCTTCTTACCCTTGTTCTATTCATTGTCAAGCGGCGAACAAGCGACAGGGCCGATTCTATCCGATAGGCTGCAGGAAGTCATCGGCATCTCGGCTGTCTACAATATAAATGGCCGTGTCCTTTCATTTGGTTGATTGTAGGATCGCCTTCCTAATAACCATCTATCTCTATTCTACTCTACATTTTCTGTGAACATGACGTTTCCGCGAACGGCATCTAGCCACCGAGGAGGATCTCCCCAGCAGCATGGAGGTCCTCTTCGAGGGCGAGTTGGCGCGCGAGGTGGAGGAGTCGCTGGGGGACAAGGCGGTCCCAGCGTCTCTGTTCCATGTAAGTTCTGCGATGTCTAGAAAGAAAAATATATCATTGTTCTTCAATTCCTTGTCGTTTGATTTTTAAGCTCCTGTAGAGGCTATCGGTGTACGTCGTCCTGGATCTGGAACTGCGGGGAGGGAAAGTATTGTTCGTGTCGATGCATGTGAGATGAACGTCTCCAACATCGCGGAATATAACTACGATGGTAAGATTTCTCCCTTTCTCCGTCGCAGTGGCTTACACGGTTTTAGGTGGTGTAAATGTTGTGCACGATTGGAACCGGTAACCACCAATTTTTAACCAACGGTCGCATGATCTGACATTTTTAAGGGTTCGCAGGACAGCTTACAGGCCGATGCCTCTCAGAGCTTGGATCGTTATGATATTCGTTCCACAGGACCGCTTCAGTCCAGATGACGTGCAAAGGGCTATATCAAGCCTAGTTCAAGGATGCGAACTCATCCGTGGGTCGTTCTCCTAGCCCTCAACATGTCTTTGTGTTCTGACTGATCCTTCCAGGCATGACGGTGCAAGACAAGCAACCATTCTTTGTCTACAAGGATCCCCAGAGTCTGCTTGCTGAAAAGGTTTGTCGATTGTTGTTATATTTTGTTGAAACTCTAGCCAATAATAACTTTTACAGTCTATCTCTGATGCCGTATCGCAAGTTAGAGATGAGCGCAAAATAACACCCACATTGATTGTCTGTATCCTTCCTGAGGGGAACACTGACTTGTATATGACAATCGAATAGTGAGTCTCGTTATGATTTTAAGGAGTATTAATGAACGGCGTACTATCAGCTGTTGCGATGTGAAGGTTGGTAGACCACACCATTTCTTTGCCTGTTATTCTTCCTCACCGCCTTTGTTCACAGCTAGGCGTAGCCAATCACTGTCTCCGGGTCGACAAATGTAAAACTACCAGACTGCAATACTGGGCGAACGTTGCACTAAAGTAAGTTATATCTTCTCTTCAATAATCGAACGAGGAGACTGAGCGAGCCTGCCATAGGATCAATGCTAGTCTAGAAGACCATGTAAATATAACCCCGGATCCGAGTCGGAGGTCAGGGCTTATTATTTCTGACTTCAGACGGGAAACCATTGTCATGGGTAAGTCATTATCGGGATTCCTCATAGCGTAGCTGATAGTGGATACAGGCGCAGACGTCATGTACCTGGCTCCGGGTGGTCAATCACCCTCGTACGCCATGGTGATGATAGAAAATATGGATTATGATATCACCCGGTATAAATTCAAAATCAAATGTCAATCCGGTCGGCAGGAGATAGAGGATCTGCGCACAATGACGAAGGTCTGATTACTTTATGTGTGCCTGTTAATATTATGGATTATTTGATGTGATGCAACAGGATCTTCTTATGTCGTATATGAAGTATGGAACTGATGGTGTGAGCGTCACGACGCTTCCAAAGCGCCTGATATTCTTCAGAGGTAAGTAGGTCATTCAGTAATAGTCGTCTTTCTTCTTGACAGTACTAATGTGCCTGTAGCTGGTTTATCTGAGGGTGAATTTCAACGTGTTTTGGACCTGGGTAAGTTGTTGGTGTTTGCATAATGAGGTCTCTCTTATGGTCTTCGGGTAGAACTTCCTCTGCTTCAAGGTGCTTTATCTTCTCGTCCTCACCGTGTGTCCTCGTTCTTACAACCTTAGTTGCATGTGTTGACGCCGGGCTTTTTCCGCGTCCAAAAATCATGTTCATCGCTGTCAAAGAACCTTCTCATATGAGGTTTGCTTTCTTTTCTTTCCTATTTAACAGCAATTGTTGATGCTCGCGCTCTCTACAGTGAAGATGTGATCCAATCTCTGGTTCGTACCCTCTGTTTTGCCCGCGCCAGCCCGACAACTTCGGTGTCTATCCCTAGTACACCTGTCTATCGTGTGTAATTTCTGTCTCTGCAGTCCACTTTGCTTACATTTTTGGTAGATGCACATATTGGATACAGTCGGGTGAAGACACTCTATGACTCCCAGGGCACATCAGGGTCACTTATGTCCGGGGGGGGGGGGGTTTACAAACCCGAGAAGAGGCGGCACCGAAGACAGCATCATGATGTTCAGGCAAGGCGCATGTTTTTAACGGTGAGTATTGCTCCGTTATAAATGGACTACCAATGAGGTTGACGATGTCGTCCTTAGTAATCTTCAAGTACTGACATTACATCTCGTATCTTCATCGTCATGATTTCTGCCGTACTAAATACTTCTCACTGATCCGATCTGTTTGCATTCTCTTTTTCGTCGTTGTCTTGTTAGCTGTCCTTCTGTTTTGCTATGAAATGAAATGCCGTTTTTTAACTTTGCATGCAAAGGCGGATTGAAGAATTCATTGCGGCTGTGTTTTTAGTCAAACTTTCAATAGTTTTACCTCATGATGTCCAGCTTTAAGCTTTTGTCCAAGCCAGGGACTAGACTTGCTTGAGTGCCCTTTTAACCGTAATCATATTTTGTCTGTCTTTTTGTTATCCTGGGCCACCTGCTCTTTGAGAATTTATGTCTTCTGGTGAACTGGCCCGTACGCTTCGGCAGATGAGTACGTCCTAGAGTCTCGTTCGAAAAGCATACACCAGTCTCCCTGCCATCAGGCCAAAAGCGGTATAAGTAATAATTAGGTAGGCCGCAAGCTGAACGACGACCACGAAAACGTGGCAATAATTAAGGCTCCCCCCTCTTCCACCCAGACTTGGACCAAGTTTCGACAGTCGATGTCGATAACCACTCTGACCAGTGGTGATTGACGGACCGGCATCCCGGGCCGTGGGTACTAATCGGTAATGTTTGTCAAATTTCGCTTCTTCGCTTCCACCCTCACCATACCCTAGTGCAAAACAGTAAGTTCTCAACTCCCGCTCGTGTTCTTGACTGAAGTCGCATTAAAACTACTACAGAATACCTTAATTCTCACTCAGGTGTGATAGAGCTGCAATGGGAGCAGTAGATACAGAGACTGGCTGCCAGTGGGTGCGTGAGCGTAGAGCTTATTCGCGAGTTGTTTTCTAATTGTGCTCTGCACATAGACAGAAAAGCCACCATGCAAGAAGCTGCGACTCGATGGGACCTCCTTTTCGCAAAATATTACCCTAATACCCCCACCTATCGACCGCCTTCCTACCGAACTTCTCCTCACCATTTTCTCCAATCTTTTTCCAGCAATATGGAGACACGTAACGCCGATTCGTCTCTCACTTGTATGCTCTCGCTGGCGCGCTATCGTCTTCGCCTCACCCAATCTCTGGTCGTCCATCTTCATTGGACGCTGGTGCGATACCGAAATCATTGGCGCCTATCTTACCCGTTCTGGTAGCAGGGTGTTGGACATTTCTATGCATGTTCCCAGCGCAGAAACTTTCATGAACGAGTGCTTCCAAAAGCCCATCGAACTATGCGTGGAACACGCCGCTCGGTGGCGGTCGCTCGACGTGACCATCCCCTTCTCTGGATTCCTCTCCATGACTCGACAGGGTAGATTGGACCTCCCCTTGCTCGAATCTCTTACCATCGGCTCATGCTGGAGCGTCAACGACTTGTCAGACTTGGACGAAGCGTCACGGCTCATCCGACGAGCACCCAAACTGCGCCATGTCCGTTTCAGAGGATCCGTGCACGAGAACTATTCCTCACCCTCTGCCCTTCCGTGGAAGCAGCTCACGAGCGTGAGCTACTTGAACTGCCATAGCCCCCTCATATTGGACCACCTCGCGTATCTCGAGAACGTGGAGAGTATGACGATCAAGGCGCCGATGTGCCACCACGCGCATATTGGGGATAATATCACTTCGCCGCTGCGTGTGCTTTCCCTACAAACCATATACAACTCGCATTTCCTCTCGGGAATTCTTGACGCCACCAAACTCTCTCTTCCCGACTTGACGGAGCTGAATATCACGCAGAGTGCCAAGACGGTGCCGTCTGTTGTTTCGCCGTTCATTCGGGGCTTGACGCGGCTGACGTTGGTCGATAACACGACGTTTGGCGATGCTGCGGTCATCGCGCTCCTAGAGAATACGCCAGATTTGGAGGAGTTTGTGTTGCGGGAGAGCAAGGGGCATTCGATATCGTGCGTGACGGCGAAACTCCTCGCGTTCATGTCAAAGAGGTCTGCCGTGCGGAAGCTGACGTCCATCGAGATGATGATGAACCCGCCTGTCCGTGAAGACTTGCTGTTGGGCATGATCCAGTGTCGGGCAACATTGGAGGCGTTGGTATCCGTCGAGATTGGGATTGCGAAAGGATGTTTTATGGGGGAGACGATGGTGTCGCTCGGGGAGTGTTTCTATGGGTTTTCGGTCAAAAGTCTTGATAACGCATTCTTGCTCAGTCGCCAACGGGCTGCTTTGTGACTTGGATACCAGTACCGAATTGATTGAATATGTGGTCCAAAAGCGAGTCCCAGTCCGACAGCACCGCACCTGGTCGGACACTGACAATTTGCAAAAAATAAAAACCACTTCTGGGAGTCCTCTGGAGCATGGGCGGCAACTGGATTTGAACCAATTTCACTAGGATTATTCTGTTCAGCCGAACACGCCCGTTATCTTGTCGACATTGAGCGAATGTTCCATTCCGAGACGCAGCCTCGACTTCGATATGCTCAAGATAAAGCATAACCAAAACCAAGGAAGATGCAAGTAACCATGGAAGTATTCTTGCTCAGGCGATGGATGGGCCTGCTTGTGAATGTGGTAACTAAGCAGTACTCCTGGGCCCATCCCTGAGTCGTCCTGGACACGAACTGGAGTTGGAGCCCGACCTAATTGTTATTTGATAAGAAAGCCTGACAAGGTCCCCGCTCTCGGTAGATTATTGGCCGTCCTTGCGCCTGGAGACTTATCGTGAACAAGAACAGTGTACTCGAGGTCTCGGGCCCAGGGATCTAAATTTCTGAAATCAACCTCCCCCCCCCTCCCTCCTCTTCCAAGGACCCCAACATTCACGAATGGGCTCTGCGCGCTTCCTGCTGCTATATCCGGTACTCGGAGGGTCCGTTCTGGTAGTGCCACCACGTTTGGACTGAAATCCGTAATATCTAGGACCGTACGGGTCCGGGGTTTTCTCTTCGGATGAGAGCACCGGTCGAGTATTGGTACTACAAGTAGTGCGTTGGAAAGTTGAATTATAGAGACAACTGACTCACATGTGGTCCGACAGAGAATCAAGAGACGGCGATTTACATAAAAAGACGCTCGTTTTTCAATATGATTGGCGGCAACCAGGATCGAACACGGCCATCTCATATGGGCTTGGGCAGTCGAGGGGTTGGCTTCAAATGTGTTGGACTGAGCAATATCACAAAATTGTTTGCTTGACCGGACATATCGATCCGATGACCCTGCCGTGATGGCACAACGTTGGGCGCCAGCCGTCGAGCGTCTGTACTCCGGTGTAGATATACGTCCAATGGACTACTTTTCAGCCCTTGCTAGGGCACAAAGGTACCAAGTTTCATGGGTGCGGTGGTCTCCTAGGCATTAAACAGCACATGGTACTTATAACATCGCAGAAACCTCCATTACCATCGGAGACGTCACTATATAAGCTTTTACCCTTCACGCCAGACCTGAAAATACGAGTATGGGACCCCAAAGTCTCGCAAGCAAGCTGGAACTCGACAAGTCTGTACGGACTCGATTTCGTGGGCCTCGACGGCAAACCCCAGCACGTCGGAAACATGGTTCAAGCAATAATTGGTAGGAGGGTCCTTGCTGGGCCAGAAGTAGAGGGGGATGTGTTGGTCGCAATCGACGATATCGGCCTTCCGTCGCAGGCTCCAGAGATATTTGGGATCTGCGCCAAAATGCCATATGACCTTTGGCACAAAGGACACTTTGTAGGGTCTTATACGTTCACGTTTGACTTGCTCGAGTAGCGTCATGATGATGGAAGACTGGAAACGCCTTCGGGAAGGAATATGATCAACATACCACCAACAGCTCTAAATCTCAAGATAAGGTTCTCGGTAAATGTATTGGCATTGACATCAGAACCTGCAACAGAGTTGAATAGTAGGCCGCCGCATCGTTGAAGTCCAATCCATTATAAGCCAACATTGACTAAAGACCTGCACAACGCCCACAGGGATCCTCGTATGCGATACCATGTTCTGAGAAATTCAAAGTAGGTCTAACAGAAAAAATAGGAAGATTATAACACAACTTGTAGAAAATATTTACCAGCATGTGCGAACCGTGTTGCAGACGTCGATGCGAATGAGGTTTGGCTGTCCTGCAGTAATACCTCAGGTTGCCCAAACCTCTACTGATAGATTGGAGCACCGAAAATTCCAGCCAAAGTGAAGCCCTGGCATGGGAGCAGAGGATGCGGCAAGTCGCGTTCGTCACAGACTCAGACCGTCCAATGCCGGGCTATTCTCCGATAGGTAGATAGGTAGGTCGGTGCCAAAGGGTCATTTTAATTGTCGCAATGTACATGGCCAGGTGAGCAAATCTTCAGCAGTAACAAGACCATACCTCATCAAATCTTGCAGTATTCGTTTCGAGCTATTACTTTTAAGTAGCTCAAGATTCTGGATAATACCCTATGAGTCTTTGGCCAAATTGACTGTCCCACCCTAGTCAACAATCCAGACAATGGGCCCGCCTGGGAGTCAACCTAGATTTAAATTCGGACAATACTTGACTTTTAGGCCTGGAGAACATCCCCCCCCCTCCCCCCCTTTCCCTTCCTCCCCCAAGATTTCGAAAATCTGTGATCAAGCCTTCTAGGGCATTGGCATTATCCGAGGTCCTTATAGCTCCTACTTAGAAAATTGGTGGAGCTCAGTGGCTCTTGTTCCAGCTATACAGAAGATGTCGTACGGTTTTACCAAACGCAATTCTCCTACCCCTACCCGGGCGAACTTCTCATCAATATTTCGGCCCTGCCAGACACGGTTCTTCGTTCATGTAGCCAAGAGCGACTTATCCCCGAAAGCTTCTCAAGTTCGCATCCACACTTTGAGATGGAGAGCTAGATTTGATTTATTTATTTCCCTCTTTCATGCGACCTCGTACGAGGGAAGAGATCTTGTGAAGGGGGAGACAATGCGCGGGGGGGGGGGGGCCGGGAATGCGAAACTCGGATCCCTTCATTTGAAAGCGCACTAAGCCATGCGTATCTCAGACCGAATGATGTTCAACGGGACCGAAGGAAGCTCTTGACATGTCTACACACGCCGCATCATTACACACCGGTATCCAAGTAAATGACACCACCTGAATACATCCACGTCGAGCCATAATTCAAACAGAGAAGCCAACATACAAGTCCAATCGTCACCGAACCCGAACCCTACAACATAGTAATTGGAAATAACACAGGTGGGGGTGAATGATAAAATGACAACACAAAGTAGGAAATGACAGCGTTTGACAATGACAAGCAGAGGGCAGTAGCTATGGTATCATATGTACGATGCGGCGGTACACAAGTGTTTTTTCGGGTACAAGATGAGCGTCGGAGATGGTATGGATGTAAGTAAGTGTCCAATAAATATACTGAACGTTCGTAAGCGGAGTGTTAGGATGTAAGGGAGGGGAGGAACGTAATGCAACCGAGTCCCGGAACAGAAAAACTAGAGAGCAACGGCCCATCCGAGCACGGCAGCCAAGATACCAGCGCCTCCAACCTGGAGCGTCGAAGCGGCATTGGAGCTCGAGGAAGCAGAGGAAGAGGAAGAAGAGCTCGATCCAGAAGAGGAAGCTGCTCTGGTGGATGTCGCCGACCTTGTGGAAGAAGATCTGAACAAAGTTGACAGTTAGTGAATTGTGTCCCGCAAGGTTCCGAATAAGAGAAGTTTAAACAATAGGCTCCGATTTTGAAAAGATATGCGAAGAAAAAAAGGCACTTACACTGTCACAGTGACCGAGCCAGATACACTGAGAGAGGCCGAAGCGGTGGCCGTTGAAGCTACCGAAGCTGTCGAAGCTGCCGAGCCCGTTGCAGTCGTGGCGGCGACCGTCGAAGCAGCAGATCCAGAGGCAGCGCTCGCGATTGAGAAATCGCTGGTCTCCGCGTAAATTTGGCTGTTATTCTCAATGTTCACAAACTGTATTGTGAAGCCGCTCCTACAAACGTAAATGAGCTTCACACGGAAATACACGAGCCAATCGCCGCTTACCCAGCATTGACCTCAGGCAGTTCCACCGTGATTGTGTTCAGGCTAGTGTTGACGTTGTTCGCGATGGCGAACTGGCTGTTGAAGTCGACGTTGGAGAGTTCGATGAGGAAGGTGGATGGGTCGCTGGTGGTGGAAGACCATGTGATGGTGAGGTTCCCGCCAGAGGTTACTGTCGTGGAAGGGTTGTTAACAGTGAGAGAGAGAGCCGACAAGGGCAGGAGAGCAAGGGCGAAGATGGAGGCGAGCATTACGACTGGGGAGCACCACGACGGCAACAACAAGAAGGGAAGAGCACAAAGGGTGGAAAGCGGGGAAATTTTCCAATACGAAACTATTTGAACCCAAGGCCACGTGGTATACCCATGCTTCTCTTTTCCTTTTTTGTTCCAGAGTTCCGCCAGCACGGTGTCTTGCTGTCAGTCCAGAAGAAGCAGGAGAATCCTAGGGGAAAAAATGGGAGATTGGGTGGTTACCGGGTCGAGGCCTCTTTGCAGGCGCTGTCTGTCTTGCAAAATCCTGGGGGAATTCGAAGTGCCAAGCGGTGGTGGGAAGCGAGAGCTGGCAGCATCATGATTTTTTTGATGAAAGTTGGGAACAAGGAGGCGGGAAGGAAGGACAAGCGGTGGCTGTACGGTATCTTCCGCAGCCTGGACTCACGTCATGAATGAACATTAATTCATTTATTAGTGGTACGTTCCTTCGTTTTCTGGTTTGTCTGACCATAGATTGACGTTGTTTTACGGTATTCAGAGGGATAGGATGAAATTAAAACCGTAATTCGTGTTGTTCTTTTACCAAATCTGATTCCTTTTCCTTATCTTCAGTTGCAGCAATATCAACATCAGATGACGTTTCCCGAACGTTTGAGCGACCCGCCTTCCCACAACCGTGCGATCAGCTCATGAAAAACACCCTGCAGTGGTCTGTGTTTCATCTCCACGTCGTCATTTCTAGTTTGAATGACGCCACGGATGGGCCGCCGTACACCCTGCGTGGCAGTACTTCCGTGCGGAATTCGTAAGGCTGCAAGTGTTAATTCATGGGGAAAGTATTATTTTTCTTGTTGTCCGTCTACTTATTTCCTATGCACTTCTTTCACAGGATGATAATGTCAATCTCGAGCCGGCGCCGCCACTAGATGACAACACACACACGCCTTTTGGTGGGCTCTTACGTATTTCAACACTTAGCATGGCTGTATCGATAGAATCATAGCAGCATGGCGCAGTGGTAGCGCGCGGGGCCCATATATCGATGTATCGATGCAATGGTTGTTTAACCCCGAGGTCACTTGATCGAAACAAGTTGCTGCTAGTTGTCCGTTAGCATTACACTGTTTTTTTCGTGGGCCGTGGCAACTCGGTCGCGCTGGGAAAACTCGATTTTGCCCCTGCCTGTCTCACAATACCTCGTATCTCACACTGGAGGGCCTGTTACGCATAACCGTCATCGCCGTGGCACATCGATGTCTTTTCTGTCTATTTTCTGTCTATTAAGCAGGGGGATTGATATCATCGAAGTCGGCGTACCACTTCACAATACGGGATATCGACGTACGTTCCAAACTTCCCTCTTCCTATGCCACAGCCTAATATATCATTCTGGTGCATCCTCCTTCGAAGGGAAACTCTGCCACTCACGCGTGTTTCATAGCAAGACACGTCAGGATGTTTTGTAGACGGCGCTCCTGTCTATACAGTCCGACGAAAATCCAGATTTGATTATTTTTTTAATCGTACTTGACCAATTTCCACCTTTAAACTGAGCGTCGAACCAGCAGCGAAAAAGGCCATAGATCAATACAGACTGTTGTTGTATTGGCATATGGCCGAATCGAAGTAAATAACTAACTCTTGTTTGATCCTAGTTGCGGCGAACTACGAATGCGACGGTGACGGCATGTACTTTTTTTAGACCCACATCGAAGGGGGCATCACGAAAGGAGTGCTGGGACTCTCTGTTAATATATCACACATTTAGTTCTCGTTCTAGTTTTACCGGCAGTGTCGAATTTCGGTGCTGCATTTGAAGTGAATCCTCGACTGAATATGTATTAATCTATAAAGATGAGGGGCCTTATCGTCGGTCGTATAGTGAACGAAGCAACTCCGAGTAGCTCAACTGGTTCGATTCTAGTTGCCGTCAATACCGTGCATTGATTTGAAGCGTTTTTTTGAGCAGTCATGAAACATGTGCTGGGACTCTGTCGAAGCACTGTATTCAGTTGTCATTCGCCAACACAACACTTTTATCGGCACGTCACTGTTTGGTCGGTACAACACAAAAACACTTGGCTGCCAGTAGATATCTGATATCAAGCCCCCATCCACTATGTATGTGTGAGGGCCGGCCATAGCATTATCGGCGGTATGGCGGAACGAGATACAGTAACTCTGGCTCGCCTGGTTCGAATCTAGTTGCCGCCATTGGGAAAAGGGCAGGAAAGCAGCTTTTTAAAAAAAATCCACGTCCAGGGAGTCATGAAAGAAGGGGGCGTCCCGATATTCCAGGATCACTCCTCCACTGGGACAGTCATTGGTCGCGGGCTGCCGCACCACACGAGGTGGTGTTGGACGAATCGAACGAATGGCTACTCTGCATGAGCGCGCGGAGCGAAGTAGTTCTTGGTCCTTGCAGATTCATTGCAGCTGGGGTGACGTCCATTTCGTGTGCTGGCCTGGTTCTTAAATGCGCTAGCACCCCACGGTTATATTACTTCTTGCTCTCCGACTTATAGACAATGTTTCTTTTGTTTGGTGGAGCCTCATTATTCATAATACTGTCAATATTATTGAAATTCGTCAACACATTGCTTCAGCCGAGTCAAAAATTTACCCCAGACATAAAGTATATTTCATATTCTTCGCCGGGTAGTATCCCCTAGTCCATTGTCGTAGTAGAGCATTTAGCAGTCTTGTGTACATGTGGAAGTCAAGAAAATAGGCCACGCAGCTGCATCGGTGTCCCGTGAAACTGCAGGTTAAATATGAAAACAATTACCATTCTTCATACAATTTGATTTTGACTTTAATCCTTAAAGCTCTCCGTGATCTACGTTCGCCTACAGGATAACAGGGCCGTGTCGATGTACCTTGGGTGATCGATAACGGAATCTCTCCTCGCTAGGCACCTTTGTGAAATTGCCATCATGTCTATATTACCTAGGTAAGTTTCCCGCTTACCGCTGCTCCGGAAGACTTTCCACTTAGCAGGTTTGCCACTCAATGTGGCACAGACAACGGTACTAACAATGGTCTGAAAGAATGTTCTGTTGCTTTGTTCTCATTTGCCGTCCTTCTTACCTTTGTTCCAGGGTGGCATTCGAAGTAGATGTGGCTGCCACGCCTATATAAGCATGGAATCAGTGTTGGATTGAGGCTTCGTACTTTTCTCTGTTTGATTTTTCGGATATCAAAATGACGTCTTCCTCTGGAGCGCAGGCAGCTCGTCCCCAGAGTCGTAGATCTGTGAGTTTCTTGCATTGAGCCCATGTATTCATCCCTCATCGTAAAATAGCCTCAACAGCTCGTTCAAATTACACCGCTCATTCGCCCAGCCCCCCGGCCTTCGGTGCCCGAAGATCTTTTGTTAGTCCGTCTCGACGGCAGTCAACCAAGTCTGAAGCCTGGGTTTGAGTTACTCGTACGTCCAAGAAACAGGGCCTTATGTCAGATGCAGCTGACAATCCCATCGACAGCTCGCAACATATGGCCTGGAACAAGCCATTGTATGTAACTGATTTCATTACTTTTGCTAACTGCCACCTAACTGTTTGTGTTAGACGGACCCCCAGCAAATAAGCTACGAGATCAACACACATGCAGTACGCCTCTTACGCTTCCGCTCGTCACCCAGCGCATCTCATCCACCCCCTAGGTACCCGGAAATTCCCACGAAAGACTCTGCCTGCTCAGCGGGTTTACTATTGGGGATCTCAACATCACCACCATCCCACCCGTAAGTTCCCACTTTCCCAAAATGCCTTAGACTTGTTCAATGCTAAACTACAGATACCTATGGCCGAGTTTTGGGCAAGGGACACCAGCGGGTTCGTTACCCACTCGTTTGATAGGCCGATGTGGGAGCTGAAGAGGACGCGTGTCCCTTTCGAGTCTTCCGTGCGCTGTCCTCGCGGGGTGGGTGTAAGTATGGCGCAAATCCTTCAGGGCAATCATGCGTGCTTGAGAAACCCGGGTGAGTATATCAGGGACATGATGGGAGTTCAGTTCGTCGACGTCGTGTTCCATGTATGTCTTGTCTGTCTTTCTTCAAGCCTTGATGCTCACTCGATAATTCCTCAGGCTAATGGTTACCTCCCGCAATACGTACGCATCCCTCTTATGTGCGCCCACCTAAGTACTGGAGGGCGATATTTCGATGTCGCGTTCAATGTGGCGCTCGGGTATCAGAAGATTTTGATGGTGGGTGACTCTTCTTTTTCCCGTCGTTGGAGTCTTACTGTCCCGTAGAGAGAAGCACCGAAAATTAGTCCCTCTCGAACGAACACCGACTTCCCCATCGTCAGGAGTGTGGAGCACTTGAATCTGATCTCGCTCTACTCGGCAGACTCGTCGGCCCAGATATGGTGGGCAGAGGTTGGCCTTTGCTGTCCCGAATCTTTTGATATGTGACGACGCAATGAGAGTCTGTATTTATGGTACATTTTCTTCTGTGTGTGCATATATGAGGGTTCCACAATGATCTTTTATTATGACATTCCTCATCGAGAGAACCAATAGAAGATTCAGCCTAGCGGAGGACCTTTCCTACAGTTTGCGGATACAACGGAAAAAAGACTATCTCTTGTTTTGCCAACCAGGGTGACCGCTCGAAGTCCATCACTACCATATTCTTCCTTCCCGCTATACCATAGTGCCAGTCCTTCCGCGCCCTTCATACGGTGGCGGATACTGCCGCTCCCCAACCTCTGATACCCCCGCAAAATTATGACCACGCCGCACAGGCTCAGCCTCAGGCTGAGGTCGTCGCCGGCGTCTACAGCATGGTATTGAATCCCGAGTTCGACAGAACAAAACAGCAGCAGCAGCAGCAGCAATAAATATGAACAGCATGGCGCCGCCTGCCAAGATGCCTATTAGTATCACTGATGTAGAAGGAGTGGCACTGCGAAATAAGTGTAAGCCACGAGCTGACGATGGCGATTGAAGACGAGGTTACTTAGCGCTGTCAGTGGCATCCAGTGCCAAACAGGTGGAAGCGTATATTGTGAGGGATATACTGGTGATTGGAAGCTCAGCGGAGATGGAAGGGCACTAAGGGAAAGACTCACAGGTAAATCGACATAGTAATCGAGATGGTGGGAGGAACAGACTGAGCGTTATACAGGGCCCTAGAGTTATAGAGGATCCTTCATGCGGGCTGAAACTATAGGAAATTATGGAGAGAATGGAGAACAAAGGTTGTTATCTTGAATAATGATCCCACATCGGCGAAGTCGGGGTGATCGGTGACCAGTCGGCAAAGGCCGACCTAGTTGTGGTCCAGGAAACATGGACAATCATGCTAGGTAAGTATGCAGAGAGTAGTACATATCAGCGTCCGGTGTCTACACAGTGAGTGCAGATTACAAACATAGAAATCGTCAGTGGTGAGTGGGGGTTGACTGCCAGGGATCGCCTGTAATCATGATTTCGAACAGACATTGATTTTCCCGAGCTGATGGACACAGCAAGAACATAGGCTCCCAATCGTGATATGTTAAGACCTGTGTAGTGCGCTATGAGAATATCAATATTCTCATTTTGCGCCGGGCTTCTGTCTCTCTTATCTTCACGTCTACGCTTTGATTATGGTCAGCGGAAATTCGAACCAGTCAATCGAGTGCAAAACAAACCTGTCAGGCCACAGCATACCGGCCGTCTCCATACGCCTTGTACTACCTAGCTAAATATCAGGACATTGAGTTGTACAGAGTTCGTCGCTCTGAGTACCTAGATGAAGATCCATCGCATCTCCCATAAAGTTCTTTGTGTGCCGCCTGCTGACTGTCAGGATTAGGTAATATCGCATTCAGAACATCCAGTGTGCGCTCTTGTAAGTTAATACGGCTTCGCGTCATGATCACGTGTTCTTCAGGGCAGGTTTCGGACGCTTGGCCGTAGCTTTTTCGTTGTTGGTAGCATTGCTTTGCCCATTTATCTAGCGAACCTCTCTTCAAGATTAGATTTTACCTCTGTTGCATTTTTCTGACTTTCGCATATGCGCTCCCCAATTCGGCTGCTTCCTTTACCCGGGTCTGCTGAACAAAGCAGCAATCACAATCTTGCAATCGCCTTGTACTATCTTATTCCCCGTATGGCTTCTTGCAGACTGTCATAAGGTATCGCGCAGGGGGACTGGTAGTAAGGTCCAACTTCATAGAAATCGTACTATTTCTGAGGCTCCAGCCCGGTGACTTTCCGTACATTTGTCTTCTCTTTCTTGGACTCTTCGCATCTCACATCGGAGCTACGAAACAAAGCACGAACAATGGAACAAACCTGCCGTTATTATACTTTGTTCGTCCTCCTTTGATGGAATAAATTCGATGACGTGTTCTCACCGTGACCTCTTCGTGCCTTTGTCTTGGTCGTAGTAAATGCTACCATTGATCATACATAAACCGCGATGTCGAGAGGTCAAAGCCGCCACTGCTTTATCTCTTCCCCTTGCTGTTGATGAACTCTTCCGACACTCGACGGAAATCACAGATGGCCCTTGATCAGTTCAAGTCGTTCTTTCTCCAGGACCGCAAGCCCTCGGTACCAGACCTTTCCTCACTCGGGAATCATGATGGAACTTCTACATATGGCTCTGAGCTATTGGTGGGTGAACGGCTCGAAACGCAAATTACCAACCACCCTCATCGGACTCTATTCGCAGCTCGCTTCGTACGGCACAGAAGAAGTCAATGTGGTGTGTTCAGAATCCTTTGGGTCTTCTTCTTCTGACCGACCTATCTAGAATGATCCTGATCAACTTGTCTACGACCTCAACACACATGAAGTGGGTCGTGTCCAAGATTTTCCCACTCTGTCCGACTCGTTTGGTTTTTACAGGTCGCCAGCGAGGAAGAGGGGATTGTAATACCCTGTACGGAAACCTGCTTCGACTTTGAGTTGACCGGTACTCTCCGCATAACAACCATCCACACTGTACGTTTGCATCGCTATGCAGACCAACTACTTTGGCTGAATCTTGGCAGACCTTCAACCCACCTATAGATGGGCACCGCGTCTCTGCCACCATCACGTACAGATACCCAACGCCAATGTGGGACGGCCATATATTTTACATCCCGTTTGAATCTGCCTTCCAGACCTCCATCGGGGTGAACATAGACCAGATCCTCCGCGGGAATCGCTCCTGCTTAAAGAGTCCGGGGAGATATCTCAAGGCCCTGGATGGGCTTCCGTTTATCGATGTCGTATTCCACGTATGCCTATTTTCATGTGCCCTATTCTCTGACTGACCCCAGCACTCCCTCATAGTCGAACGGCTACCTTCCGCAATACATTCGGATCGCACTGCGGTGCGCGCATATCCCTGCCCTCCGGAATATTGACGTCGCATTCAATGTTGCGCTCGGGTATCGGAAGATCATGATGGTGTGTGGGACTACATGTTTTGGCTTCCTTTCTCTTATATCGAGTTCTTTGACAGAGAGAAGAGTCAAAGATCTCTCCTTCGCGTACGGATGAGGATTTCCCCGTTGTTATAGATGAAAAACGTCTCAACCTAGTGGGGCTATATTCTAGGGATTCATCGAGGCGGGTGTGGTGGGCTGATGTAGCCATTTGTGACTAGGTTAGGTATATTGTTGTGATCTGTGTCATGGCCTTCAGGCATTTGGTATGCTACAACGATATGTTGAAGTCGGTACTTATCTCAACTCAAGGAGCGCTAATCAGATCGGATTACTATCTGGCAAACCAACGAATACGAAATAAGGTGTTCCAGTAATGAAATTGAAATTCGGAATCTCAGAGATTTAGACGCGTCGAGATCACATGTCCGCGATTTGGAGCTGTGGGAATTTAAAGTGCGCCGTTCCCACTATGACTTTTCCTTGTCTTCCCATGATAGTGTGGTCCATGGACGCCTTCGGACGGTCGTACATGGTGATCGCACCACCTTTATCACCATCGCGTTGGCTTGTGGATCAACCACGACCAAGAAGCTTCAAAGCACCTGCCTTCCTCCCTTCAAATATCGCGAAATTATGTGCTTCATTGTCCTCGGTACAGGTTACCGACCGTTCCGAAGCGGGCATCAGCCGAGGCCAGTCCTGTTGAAGCGGCCGGGATCCCCTACCCACACCAGGAATATTGAGGAGAAATGTCCGAGCTGGAGGTTGTTCTTTCGACGTTGGACGTCACTAACTCCAGTGTTCAGGTCGGCGATTGCTCACGGTGAATCGCAGTTACACGAGCGGGGGTCGGCTTGGAACATGTGTGAATCGTAGCTAGTGCAGGTACGGTTTCCGATTCTTCTGCTTTGGCGTTTTTCTGATTTTTTTTCTATAGGACTATATGTCTGCATTGCTCTGACCGCCCTATGGTCGCGCGCACACTGGGACTCGACTCCCACCTTCTTTCTAGATGCCTGTCTCTAAACAGATATTGGTCGGCAGCCCTACGAGCCATCCCAAGCTTTTCGCGTTACCGTTTTCTTCCTGCTTTGCTTTCATCTATTTCTTGGGCTAGGGTCCTCTCTGCCACAAATGTGAAAACGGCTCGGTTTGCGCGTAGGTCCATCTCGTCCCCTTTGAAGTGCATCGGCTCTCAATTATATGCGCTTAGAATTGACGTTTCCTGGTTTGCTGCCCTGTGACCAATCTCTAGATGCTTGTTCTGATCACAGGGCTTAAGGATGCACACGTATGGTGTAACGGTTGGGAGGCTCTGCCCGTGTTCCTGGTTCAATCCCAGTTAATGTCATCTTGCCGCTCGCAAATTTCTTCAGCCTTTTTTTCACCACTGGGAAAGAAAAGTGGATCTGAATCGTGCTCCATGAACCGCACAGATGATCTCCCTTCAGCAGGGAGTGACTCATGCGCGTCTTGGTTCTGACAGACGGAGAAACACGTTGATCAGCATTCGTCGTAAGTCTATGCAGTGCGATAATGCTCTACTTACCTTCTTGCGCTACGTTCTTCCCTATTGGTCTGCTCATATAAGTTACAAGACCAGGAAAGGGCTGTGGCTTACTGTCAATGCTGTATCTAGGGTTCGTCCATCTCATATTCTTCGAAGCACATTGGCCTCCTAACGGTATGTCCTTAGAATTGCCACCCTCCAGATTGTTCTCCTCTGCCTTTACCGCGTACCTTCGCGTCATGGATAGGCGAGGTATCTTTATAACGCTGAACAGTGGTGGCATCGTTGTAGCATTATATTGTAACAGGCGGGGATGTTCGGGCCGGTTGCGTTATGTCTGGTTCGATTCCAGCTAACGCCATCAGACGACAACAGGCATTCTTTCTTGCTAGTAACTATGGATCCAGCTGGCATTCTTCTGCAAGAAACACATCGATGACCGATACCACGTCTTCACACTTTAGCGCCATTTCTTTGTCAGTCTCACCGCACGTATTTCTTCCAAATGTTCCTCTCACAATATCGAACTTTCGTTCGTCGTCGCTTTTTCTACCCTTTACATTATTAGGGATGCTACCGTACCGTATACGGTTACAGCTGTACCTCCCTTATACGGCCGTATATCGTATGAGAAAAGGGCTACAACGGTACGGTACGGATTTGACCGTATCCCGTATACGGGCATCATATGAGGATGGGGACCTAGAGCAAGTAAGCTTTATATTTAAAGTGACTGATTTCATTCATTTGACTCATCACATATGAAAAATGGTAGGTATCCATATAAATTTCACCTACCCGTACAATACCCGTACAAATACGGCCGTAAAACTCGAAACGTTGATGGTACGGGTACGGCGGGCATCCCTGTACATTATTGCCAGCCGTTCGATCCGACCCTTTGTTCACCAACTTCTGATTCTAGCCATTGTTTGTGATGCGCGGGCGGTATACACCTCTTTTGGCTGAGCTAATCTTATGTCACAGATAACGTCGTGGTCTCCATTTCATTACTATTTCTCAAATTTACATCTTTCGTCGCGGCTTCATCATTATTTTCCCGTAGGCCCGTACTAGGGTATCTAAAATACCGCCATAGGATCGCTCGGCGTTTCATCAACGATCGATCTAGACTCGGAAGCTTTTTCCCGTCAACACATGCAGTGCGAACACTTCGTACCCGATGTGTTCAATTTAACACACTCTGTTCAGTTTTTGACCCTCGCCTTCATGCCATAACCGCCGAATAAATTGAAACCTTTCAAGAGATGCATGCGCTGATTTAGGGTAACAGCGGCTGGTTGGAAATGGTAGGTACAGGGATCGTTTCTTTCACCTTGACGTCTTGTGAATTTCCTGTCTGCAGGCTGGTACCCTTTGCATCATCAAAGACCTCCATGAACTTGGGCCTTACATCAGTCGTTCCTCAGACCGTCTGCCCTTCATTCCACACAGGGTAACTCATTATCAACACTAAGGGCCAACATTTTCCAAGTAACCCATATCTATGCATGCTCCTCTCCTGTTCTTATGTCAAGGTCCTCCCTTACAGGATATAGGTCTGTATAAAAGCCGCTCGATACAGATCTTTCCTTGCTTTTCTCTTCGTTCCTCTCCTTTGCTCTTCACTTCACTGTGAATGACACCCTGTCCTATACCCTTATTGCCTGTTTAATACGTGCTGACTTCAGTTGATTATCCTTTTCGATGGTACCATTCAACCAGGTTGTCAAGACCGTTCTTACAATGACCACGTCTTCAGCCACGCGGGCCTCGGTTGATGAAACTAAAACTCGTCGGCGGGCATTTCTCTTCCAACGCTGATCGATATTTTCCCCACTGAACCATACGCCAGTAATAATTGGGGCGATGGCTACCGCAACACTAACCTTGTTGATGTTTGATCCATTTTCCGTCTCGTACAGTTATTCTCTTCCAGTATGTCAAACAGCTCTGCACAGGTTGTATCATCGAAGAAGTCGGTGCGCTCAGTGTTCGACTGTTTTATGACATCGTTTTCATGTTTATTTTCTGAATTTCGAACTGGGCTTGGTCTCTCTGCCTCTTCTGAGGGTGACCTCGCGAACCAGCATATTTCCTACACCATGTATTCTTCTTACAGCTTCGTATACCGTTTTGTTTCTACCGTTCGCAATACACGGGCTTTCCTATGTGTACGTCAGACTTTAATCATCGGGGAAGTGAGGTCGTCGGACTTGGGCAGTTTGGAATTCGAGAATACGGCATGAATTGATGTAGAACTCATAGATGGGAGAGGACGCACTGTCTCTACTTGCATTAGAACATCAAATTAGTTGTGATTCAAACTTCGGTTGGATATCATACCGGAATTCGAACCCTCATCTGACAATTTCATGATAACAAGGAGATGAGGGTCAACATTGGTGTTCCGGAACAAGCCTCTTAAAGATGCTGGATAAGAAAGTTCTCGAGGTATGTGTGCTCTAGCATAGCCACACGGGTATCTTTCTATCTGGACTCCATTCAAAACGGAACTCTGGCTCACATCTTTACTTGCCGATGCTTCTTGTTCATCTCCTGAAAATGATGAGTAACGCATGCTTCATGCGTTGCAGGGACAGCCCCCCGACTCCCAATAAGTTCATACGATGAAGACCAAAGAGGTGCCCATACTCTCTTCCGGCGGGCCGATGCGTTGGAAGATTTCTCAGTGAGAGCAAAAAGACAGGGAAGGCCGATCATATTCCTTTCATATTGGCATCATGGTGTCTAGATTCGGACAGCCCTGGAGTTATTTATGTTGACATCTGATATCTGGGAACTGGTCCCGAGGGACTAGATATCTGTGGACTGTCCCTTGTCGTTTATGGACCGCTTTAGTCACCATCTCATGCAAAACAGCGCGCGCTCTACGTTCCTACGGTGCGCTTGACGGCACATCTTCAACCTATATCGCAGTGTCCCCTTGGCAAAGTTCGTGGAACAAGGTTAGACACCAACGGAGATTTGGATATCATCATCCTTGAGGCTTGATCAATTCTCCGATGGTTGAACACGGTCCGTGAAATCGCCAACTCGATTACACCGAGTGGTTCATAGCCCCTCGCATCTCATGATGATCAAGTTCAATCTCGGCCCCGGGTGCACTTCATTTCTTGCTCAAATAGCGGGACCCACCCGAGGCGTTGGCTGTTCATTCTCTGATCCTCGACATCCATGAAACACACATCGGTCGAAAATACACTCGGTGCATTCTTTATCGGTGCTACGTTGGCCAACATGTACGTTTTCTGCTCTGCTTCTCACCGCTGAACTAGCACTAACGCCGATTCAGTCTGTTTGGCATAACAAGTCTCCAATCCACACTGTACTTCAAAAATTACCCAAATGACGGGCAGTTTTTTAAAGTTTCTGTGCGCACGCGTTTTGCATCTCGTTCGAAAGGTGCATTGATATTAATGTTTTTTTCTGATGACGAGTAGATAGGGGCCATCTGGTAAGGTTTCCTCGACTCGATGTCCCGTGTTGAATGTCATGCACCAGGTTTCTGGATACACTCGATGTCGCGTTTACCGCCTACACTTCATATTTCTATGCTTTCAAGAACTTTGGGGACATTAACGCTCTTCTTGGGAGCGCCGTCCTTTGGTGTGTTTTATCTGGTTCCGAAAATGGTTTTACTTTCTTTACTAAATTTTGATTCTTGCGTAGGAGCCTTAAGGTTTGCGCTTCTTGTGTCGATACGGTCATGATATTGAATCCCGTATTCAACCATAGCTGCACATATTGCTTTGTGTACGTACCTAATCCTTCAAGTTGTCGCATCGTGAATTTCATTCTGAAGCTTTGCCCTGGCAGATTGTTATTCGAGTCTATGTTCAAGCGTGAGGATTCGCATTTTCCGATTCACCGTTGACTTGAAATACATGTCCTGTGTAGGATGTATGCTGTGCGTTTATGGAAATGTGCGTTTCTTTTTATTGATGCCCAGCTCTGTTCTGAGTTACATGGTTAGTTGGACAACATCTTCATCGAGTCGTACTGTGGTTGGTTGTATGTGGTATAATATCTATTACCGTGTCTCTTTCAATGACTGCCGTTTTCGCCATTTCAGGTTCTCGTTACTGTAAGCAACGGAGGTACAGAGAATCCATCTATTCTCCAATATAGATCGTTTTCTGACCACTATAACACCCGCTAGGTTGCGGGATATGTAAGTCTCTGATACTGATTGTTGTGATATTTTATTTTTAACGACAGTCCCGTAGACCTGATTAGACAGATGTAGGCATTCAGCTTTTTATAACACTCATCGCCAATGATAATTCAACAGATATGGCATGGCTACCTTCGGCCAACAACCGGACATCAAGGTCCGTGTTCAATCATGGACCCACCCCATTAAGTATCTTATTCCAATATAGAGCGGTCTTGTCTCTTTGTTTGTAACAAGTGTAACAGCCGAGTTCATGACATCCGCCGCCATGTGCTACTCTCTGAATAAAGGCCGGACCACTTCAGCCGTTCCCAAGTCAGTCTATTCATTCACTTGTTTACATCTCATAAACTGTTTCTTCGACAGCACGATTACAATAGTCCTGACATTAATGCGGATGATTCTGATGTCTGGGTTCATTACGAGGTGGGGAGAAAATCAATTTGTACTTTCGTCGCAACCACATGACAACTGCTCACATAGCTTGTATTCGGTGGTAATTCTTATCACGGTACGAACAGAAATTTCGGAGCAACCTCCCTGCTCGGTCCGAGCGAATTCAGTGCTAATGGATCATGTCATAGTTTCTACTCTGCCCGGATACTCTCATATTCCTCGGCATCGATTGTATACTCCCCAAATATCAGTTGACATGATCTTAGATCCATCGTACTGATCTTAATCTTTGTTCATAGTGTTCATCACTTCCTTATTAACAATGTACGTACTGCATCCCAAATTGCCGGTGTTCATAGATGTTCATTCAAGATGATAGGCTAAATGCACGGAAAGAGTTTCGAACCGCTGATAATTCCTTCCACCTACCACCACTTGACTCCAGCGGACTGAGGTCTGAAAGAGCACACAGCCACCGTGCGCAGGATAAGGTATGTTTCTAGATATATATTTGATGGATACTTCGTTACTGATGGGCTTGAAACAGGCTATTGTTGTCTCGATGAAGATTGAGTCGGAATCTGTGTGATTTCTACTGGTGTTCTCGCTGTTCTCGTTGCAGCTCTTCCCGTGTCGTGAGCGGTACTAGAGTGTCTAAATTATATTCATGTTCTTTATGTAAATGCTTGGTAACCACCCTGTCCGTTTCGTGTCTATTATTGTCTTCCTCGTAATGATCAAGATTGAATGAAGTTACGAGTCACGTATATAACGTCGACGCCGTGCGAATCTGAAACGTTCTTGAATACTGTTAGGATAACGCGTATTTGGAAGAGCCACGTACAAGAAAGCAATTACTGCATCCCGAGGCCCCAGAAGTATCCAAGCTGTACCTGTCGTTGAACGCCAGTAGCAACGCAAGCACTGATAAGATAGGTTGCATGTGAAGAAACCTGAGAGGTCTGGATGTCGTCGAGACATTGTTATTCTCAGGGGGTCGCGGCATGTACGACTGAGGGTTGAATTTCAATTTCCGTAGTCGTGATGATCACATGCGTCCCGTGTTTTCTTTCGTCTTAATGTGTTAGTTACGAGCGCCGTAGTGGCATCAGCATCGCATGGTCGGAATCAACGCCCAGGATATGCATGACTTTCTTCAGTCCCACGAAGGATTCGATTTCCAGCCAAACTCCTGGTCGTAGCTATGTTCGACGAAGTCTGCTGGGATTTTCTACCCGCACCAGGATTGTTAGGCAATTCGGAAGGTAGATATGGTACGGACTAGGGTCAATGGGGATGCATGCTTTGATTTTTGACGTGAAGTGTCACCAACATTAGCTCTCTAGGTGTCTTTTCCCCCGAGTTGACGTCTTGATGATTTCGCCACTGTAGGTCCAGCTTGTACCTTCATGCGAACATTATACCAATTGTATCGCGTCGCCAAGAATGTAGGCGCATTTATCTTCCAGCAATAATCATGCAGCCATTGGTTCCATGAAATTGACCATCTTGTCCACGTTCTCTGTTCTCTCCAAGGCTTGATCTCCCTTCAGCAGGAAGTGACTTATGCGCGTCTTTCTTCTGAGAGACGGAGAAACACTTTGATCGGCATTCGTTGTGAGTCTATGCAATGCGATAACGTTCTACTTACCCTCTTGCGCTACGTTCTTCCCTATTGGTCTGCTCATATAAGTTACAAGACGAGGAAAGGGCTGTGGCTTACTGTCAATGCTGTATCCAGGGTTCGTCCATCTCATATTCTTCGAAGTACATTGGCCTCCTAACGGTATGTCCTTAGAATTGCCGCCCTCCAGATTGCTTCTCCTCTGCCTTTACCGGGTACCTTCGCGTCATGGATAGGCGAGGTATCTTTATAATGCTGAACAGTGGCGACATCATTGTAGCATTATAGTGTAACAGGCTGGGATGTTCGGGCCGGTTGCGTTATGTCTGGTTCGATTCCAGCTAATGCCATCAGACGACAACAGGCATTCTTTCTTACTGGTAACTATGGATCTAGCTGGCATTCTTCTGCAAGAAATACATGGCGGTAACCGATTACCACGTCTTCACATTTTGGAGCCATCTCCTTTTCAGTCTCACCGCATGTTTTTCTACCAAATGTTCATCTCACAATATCAAACTTTCGTTCGTCGTCCCTTTTTCTACCCTTTACATTATTAGGGATGCCCATCGTTCCGTATACGGTTACGGCTGTACCTTATACGGCCGTATATCATATGAGAAAAGGGCAACGATACGGTACGGGTTTGACCGTATCCCGTATACGGGCATCATATGAGAGGGTGCTGACCTGGAGCAAGTAAAGTTTTTATTTAAAGTGACTTATTTCATTCATTTGACTCATCACATACGAAAAATAATAGGCATCCATATAAATTTCACCTATCCATACAATACCCGTACAAATACGGCGTAAAAATCGATTTCCAAACCGCTGGCGGTACGGGTATGGGCCCGTATATACAGTACCCGTATCCGCCGTATGTACGGGTACGATGGGCATCTCTATACTTTATTGCCAGCCGTTCGATTCGACCCTGTGTCCACCAACTTCTGATTCTAGCCATTGTTTGTGATGTGCGGGCGGTATACACCTCTTCTGGCTGAGCTAATCTTATGTCACAGATAACGTCTTGGCCTCCATTTCGTTGCTATTTCTCAAGTTTACCTCTTTCGTCGCGGGTTCATCATTATTTTCTCGTAGGTCCATACTAGGGTGTCTAAAATACTGCTACAGGATAGTTCGGCGTCTTATCAACGATGGATCTAGACTCGGAAGCTTTTTCCCGTTAACATATGCAGTGCGAACACTTCGTACCCGACGTGAGTGTCTTTCTAGTCTACGTTGGTGCCAGACTATTGATCCTTCCTTCTTAGTAGCCGTGGCACTCCTGTACCAGGTGGATTTTCAAGGAAGTATATATACATTGAGCCAGAGGTACACTTTCGTCTTTGTGCCGGTATGCTGAGTCACGATGGGAGTGTAGGTGGGATCAGGCGAAGGCGGATTCGGGCCGTAGCACGTGACGGTTTAGGGCAGGGTAGACGTAGTTTTCCTGCTTCGTAGCTAGATCAGACTATCCATCCATCCACTCCACCTCTCAGACCCTCCGAGGGGTTCAAACGATTTATACCAGGACAACGGTGGATGTGGGACCATGTGCTATTGGCACGTCAGTATAGTGTTCCATCCTTCCCGAAGAAACTGCTCATAGCATATTTAGATAAACATTCACTCTTCCCTTCTGACCGTCGTGGTCGTCACCTTTATCACCATCGCGTTGGCCTGTAGATCAACCACGACCAGGAAGCTTCAAAACACCGCCTTTCTCCCTTCGAATAAGGCGAACTGTGCTTCATTATCCTTGGTCCAGGTTACTGACCGTTCCGAAGAGAGCATCAGCCGAGGCCAGTCCTGTTGAAGCTGCCGGGATCCTCTACGCACACCAGGAATGTTGGGGAGAAATGTCCGAGCTGGAGGTTCTTTCGATGTTGGGTGTCACTAACTCCAGTGTTCAGGTCGACCTTTGCCCACGGTGAATCGTGGTTGTACCTTTGCACCGAACGGGGGTCGGCCTGGAACATGTTGCTAGTGCAGGTACGGTTGTAGATTCTTCTGCTTTGGCGTTTCTCTGATTTCTTTTCTACCGGTCTATATGTCTATATTGCTCTGACCGCCCCAAGATCGCGCGCACACTGGGACTCGAACACCTTCATTCTAAGCGTAACAGATGTTGGTCCACATCCTTGCGAGCTATCCCAAGCTTTTTCGCGTTACCTTTTTTTCCCCTGCTTTGCTTTCATCTATTTCTTGGGCTAGGGTCCTCTCTGCCACAAATGTGAAAACGGCTCGGTTTGCGCGTAGGTCCATCTCGTCCCCTTTGAAGCGCATCGGCTCTCAATTATATGCGCTTGGAATTGGCGTTTCCTGGTTTGCTGCCCTGTGACCAATCCCTAGATGCTTATTCTGATCACAGGACTTAAGGATGTACACGTATGGTGTAACGGTCGGGAGGCTCTGCCCGTGTTCCTGGTTCAATCCCAGCTAATGTTATCTTGCCACGGTTTTGTTGCTTTTGCTTTTCTTGCCATCGGGAAAGAAACATGGATCTGGCTAACAAGGGATATGTTAAGCTGAAATGTGTGATCTATACCTCAGCAACGGTTACATCGTGAATCGAACGTTAATCTCATGATTTTTTGCTTTTTTGACTATTTCTTCTGCCCTTGCCATTTTTCTGTCATAGTATCGCATTACCTGTCAGGGATCTTCATTGATAATGAAATGATATTGCGTTTTTTGTTATTACTACATTGCGGTGCTGGTCATGAGCCACTTGGGAAATGATGGAATTTCCAAATTCAATTGTTGAATGAGGACGATGGGTGTGCCGCGTAATCATATTGACAAGAATGAAGATGGTGTTGGTGTTGAGGAAAAAGCAAGCGCGTTAAGATCACATCCACCGCAAATTTGGCCATGGGGAAGTATATGACTTTAAACCCTAAGCTTCCCATCTAGAGCTTTGCTCCGTTGACTCAATGTCTCCTCCCCGTTGCACGCTCTCTCCAGGCTTTGAAGAGAATACTGCCAGAATTGTCTGCCAGCCCAAGATTTCTGGCGACTTGGAAAAGTTTCTTCGCTTTGATGCCTTGCCGATTTCGTGTCTGCAGGTCTACTGGTACCCCGTCAAAGATGGCACGGCGACCCCACTGAACGCTCCTTTGACACACATCGGCCTCCTAATGATACATCCGTAGAATGTCTCGTGCTCTGACCTGCTTGTCCGTTGCCTATCCGTGGCCTTCCGGGTCACCTTCATCCTAAGGCATAGAGATGGAAGGGGGGGTATATCTATAGTGCCGAGCCACGACGCAATCATCGTGGCATTATGGCGTAACAGTCGAGGAGTCCTGGTCTACCCTGTTTCTGGTTCGAACCCAGGTGACATAATATCATCAGTAATTTCCTCTTTTTTCTTGGAAAAGACACTCGGGTACGAATCTGGCAAAAATTTTGGATCGCGCTTGATGAAACGCATAATGGTGACTGGGCCTTCCTCTTTCCGCCTCTACATTGTAATATCATCTTTTTCAGTTGTTACTACTACTGACATTACTTTCAGATGAATTGAATGCTCGCGCTTGTGATCTCAAAGAATCTTCTTCAACTATTTTTTTGGCAGCAACTTTGTTGCCAGGTGTCAGCTGGGCAACGAGCCATCCCGTTTGTTAGCGCATTCTTCATCGCAGGCTCGTCATTATCCTCACGCAGATCCGTCCCTGCATGCATAATGATTCGTTAGGGCAAGTCTTCTATCTCAAAGAATTGGCACCCACTGCACCCAAGCAGCCAAGCCTGATCTCTCTCATCTCAAAATAGAGCTGTTTAACCTATTCGGGGCATCCGTTTGTTTTCGACGAATACTCTCGTCATTCCCTTCCGGTATCCGGTATGTTTGCCCACTGGCATGAACACCTCTCCTCTCCATCGATTGTTGCAGCTTGCGCGTTTGCAGAAACCACTGTTGCCTTACGTTGATTCCCTAGGTTCACTTAAAACATACACTTCGACTACCTGCATAGCGCTTTCAACTTGGTTATCGGTATCCAGGAGTTCCCAGCGCTTGTTACCATCAATGATCAATCAAGTTTCTCAAACCGGCAGTACGCTTGTTTTCCCGCATCCTATTCCTCCCCCCACCACCCTCCAACAAACGTCCGTCCAATTATGGTTTGTCGTCTGGGTACTTATTGCGAAGGCTCCTTATCCGAGTCGTCACCATGCAGTGCAAATCCCTCGTAGTCGCTCTTCTTGCTTGTGAGCATCTTTCCAGTTCGCATTCATCGCTAGCCATTGATCCCTTTTCCTTCTTAGCAGCCATGCTTGTAGGTGCTGCACCTCTGCCTGACGAAGTCGATGCGGATGTAGAGGTACGTGTTCCTTCCTTGAGATGGTTTCTGATTTACGGTTTCTGCCAGGAACGTGCTGGATGCGGGACAAGCGTTATCACATGTTATTGACTCGTCGCTCATGGTCCCGTACACGGTATGCTCTTCGGTTTTATATTCTAGGAGAATATGAGCCTCATGGATGTCCCTAGCTTAAAAATTCTCGTCTTTTCTCGCCCCTCATGCCCTTCTCTCCGCCCTATATGAACTCCGCGTACCTTCTGGCCACCATCCCCAGGTGCATACCATTAATACTTATCATTATGTTGTCTTCTGCTTCTGTACCGTCTGATTATTGTATCGTTATTTCGGGCTCCGTCAATATATGTTGATCATAACTATGTGGATGAATCTCCTTGACATAAGCCAGGTGTACTGGTAATATATAATATGAGTCAAGTTGGACTCGGAGGCTACGTGATTTATCCTACCCGCAGCGCCGATTTTCTACGCGATGGTCAGGCAGGATGCCTTTGTATGATCGGTTATGCGTTAAATGGCTGTTTTGGAAACACAATGAAAGCTAGCCATATGAAAATCCGATGTCACATTGGTATAAATTTGAAGGAGCTCGGGGTCTGAACTAGTCTCGTAAACCGGCTTTGCGGTGTACGCGACAGAGTCACGTGCTGTGTTTAGGGCAAGTCAAGCTTGAAGCTATCCCATTTTGCTAACGCACGAACTTCACCCAGCGACCGTACCTTACCCTTAAAGTTCATGTGATTTCTGCCAGATGACAGAGCACGCCAACAACTGGTTTGTTCCTGGTTTCAGGATCCCGATGTTGGCGGTGGACGCTTATCTTCCCTTCTCGCTACCCACTCTTTTCTCTCTTGTTCGTCCCCCTCTCTGAAGGAAAGGATGTCAGAGTCGCATGCAGGTTCCAATAGCACAGTTCAACGGCAAGATCAGGAAGGATCTTCGGCTACGTATGTATACTACATGTGAATGGCCTAGACTTCTCATGCGCATCACAGTTCTCCGAATGCTCACAGCCGGCCTTCTACGCCTCAGGCTGGCAGTCAAGACGACAGAGTATCGTCATATTATGCGGCATCTAAACCTCTGGATTATATATCTGCTGCTGCTGAGAGCCAGGGAAGCGCGCCGCCGTCCTGGGGTCTATCAAGTCCTTTAGGGTCACCGAATGACCGTCCGCCAGACTCTTCACTGAGTGATATGTCAAATGCAGATCCAAAGCCATCAACTGTCCTCCCACCAGGCTTTGTCCCCATATCTGGCCGTTTTCAGAGTGCACAAAATCCATCTGTCGCTAACTTACCATCACCGCCGCCGGCTCAGCTGAGTCAGATGATTTATAACAGTCCATTTTATTTTCATGGGTTACCTAAGAACAATTCAAAAACACCCAGAGCACCGATCTCGCCGACATTCGATCCTTCTCAAGGTCTGCACCTACCTTCACTTCATCCTTCTCATGTCGTCCCGCCGGTAACAATAAACCATGTAAAACCTTTGGAAGCGAAGTCTGGAGTAAGGGCAGGTATGCTTCCGATAACTAGATAGGCTATATGTACGAAACTCAACGAAAATTTAGTTCAGGATGGTTACGAACAAAAATATCCAGAAGATTCGCCTGGGTCAGAATGCGATCCCACAGCCAGAATCTGGCGGATGTTCGCCGATGAATGTCAAGCCTATGATGAGGCAAAATTTCAAGTTCTTCGGGACAACGTGGACGTACTCTTAGTGTTTGTGAGTTCAATTTCGGTACTGTGATGTTCTATCACGTAAATTTCTGATACCATTGCCAGGCTGGTTTATTTTCTGCTGTAGTGACCACCTTCGTTGCGCAGACGTCCCAAAACTTGCAGGTAGACTACTCAGAGGTGTCTGCCTTCTTGCTTTATGAAATGGTCAATATCCAACGCGCCATCGCCAGCGGTGCAGGGGTCGACTCTGTCTCTGCTTCGCCATTGAACCCCACAAGCGTCTTTATCCCTTCCGCTTCTGACCGCTGCGTCAATGGCTTGTGGTTTTTGAGCCTTTCCCTGAGTTTGGTCACGGCCCTTGTCGCGGTGCTGGCCAAGCAATGGATACGACAGTATATGCTAACATCATCAGAAGCCCCGCGGGATCGGTGCAGGATTCGGCAATTCCGTTATATCGGTTTTCAGGAGTGGCACGTCCCCATCATCGTCGGGATTCTTCCATTTCTGTTGCACATTGCCCTTGCTATGTTCCTAGCAGGATTGGTTGTTTTTCTCCTAAACTTAGAGCACCCAATCGCATATGTACTTTTGGTGATCACAGGAGGCTCATATACTCTATATCTCGCGGCCCTGCTCATGCCCCTTTTCTTTGCGGGATGTCCTTATCAAACGTCATTGACGGATCGCCTCTTTGTTGCCCATCGGAAAATTCTCAGATGGACGTCGATAGCCCGTTACGAGCTGCTTCCACCCTCCATTCAAGAATGGGAGCTCCGGACTATCAAAAACCAGTGCGATGACCTGGACGTCCAATCCCTTCGTTGGTTGTACGATATGTCTTCCAATCCCATGATTCATAAGTATATCATACAGTGCATTGGCGGGCTCCAGCCTAGCGTCGATTCTTATGCGTTGTGTGGTGCGTTTGAAGGAACCGGACTCCAGGAGAAAAACTGGGAACTTTTGCAAGAATGTCTGGAACCTCACGAGTATGAGGGATATTCTGCTGTGGTGGATGGCATGGAAACCCGATTAGAGCGTCTTCTTCGTAGCCGTCTCCGCTTTTCAGCAGAGTTACCACGCAGCCATCCTTCCAGTATCCCGCGGTTACTCTTGACCTTTTCTCCCGATAGTCAGTTATCTACCGAAATAACGACGATGACTGCCACCATTGCCTGTCAAGACGATGGCCTCCGTCCCCCGAATTATCCAACTGGTGCCGATGTCTTTCTCTACCTTGCCCAGCGGACCTGGCATACCGAAGATATCCTCCTTCATCCTTCCTTGTGGAGATCTCTGTTTTCAAGTGTGATTTCCCGACGCTCGCTCGCCCTAGATTCAGTCCACAATTCCGAGTTTGAGCCATTCTGTTACAAGTTCATGGAAACACTTACACGGCTCAAAGTATCATGGAATCCGGCGCAGCCACAGGATGACGGTACTCGAAGAATGTCTCTTCAAGACGCTTTATGGTTTGGCCTTTATGGCGACATCGAAACTCACTTATTGTATGTGCTTTCGGGATTTGATGCATTGAGCGAGCCAGCGAGCTTTGATAACCACCCCCCTGATTCTGAGATTTCGCGGCGGATTCGCCTACTTCTGGCTATTACTAACTACGCCCTTTCTACACAATCATTCCGTGCAGTCCGATGGGATGATCCGTCTCTCATACAGCATCACTGTTTCGGCATGGTCTTTTTCGCCTTGAGAGAGCTCCGGATACAAGTCACAAACTATTCGATGTTGTCGTTCCGCGAAAGTGCCGCCATCTATTCGGTCATCTGTCCACTGGTAACATCTCGGTCTTTCGCGAGTAAGGAGATTTGCCCATCTCCAATACCGTGGATGATGCGTTCCGACGTGATACGAATATTAGTGCGCATTATAATTTCTGAGAATTCAAATTTGGAGCCCAGCAGATCTTGGAAGATCTTACCTCCGGAGTGGAGTAACGTCAGAGACATCATTTGTGGACTAACATTAGATCCAAATACGCTCGGCAACTGGTTGACGAATACTCATGTGCCGGCAACCTGTGTCGTCGATGCAGGGGCTCTCCTAGAACATAACTTGGATAATGAGGACGCCGCTGCATTAGAGACCTTCACGAATCTCGACGTGCTCCAATTTGCAGAACAGACTATGTTCATTTATCCCTGGTGCCGCGTCATCCAGGCCTACGTCTCAGCAATCTTTCGTATGCTTGACGGTAGCAGAACAAAGACCATCCACCTCGCACACATTCCTGGCCCCGTTGATGAATATGTCGATTATATCCATCGTCCTCGAAATCTCTATACCATATGTGCCATACTGGGCGGGCGATTTGCGAAATGTATCGAAAAGGGCGGCGCTGGAGGCGCTCAAAAAACCTTACATTTCCTTGCATGTCTGCGCTCTCAAGACCCAGCTTGGTCTCGGTGCATAGCGCAGTTGGAGCTCCTTTCGAAGAATCGGCAGCACATATCGGAACAACGATTCTTTACCCTTGACGGTGACGCGCAATGGAGGCCATATAACGTGAGCGAGGTGAAAAATATCATGACCCGGCTCGAAATTTGCAGCACGAAGTTGAAGCAAGTCGTTAAACATTCTGCACCGGACTTAGTGAGTAACTTCAGTCTGCAATTGATTCATGGGTTCAACGGGTTCATTTCAGGTCGACACGGCGTTTTCTGAGAACGTCCTCCATCCCAGCAGGCCAAGTCCCGACAATTCTCCAGCACCATACATACCCGATGATTCCGATGAATATGCAAGTCAACCGAGTGCTTTCGATGTAACGGAGCAGTCATCCGTGTAAACGAAATTATGTCTAATGTATGGCACTTATCAGCATTCGCTTTAAGAGGAGGATCGAATATCCTAGTACAGCCTTGTGAGTGTTCCATGATAATTTAGTCCCCTCGTTTTCGCTGTCTTGAGGATCAGAGGCTCAAAGTTCTCAGGGAATAAGGTTGCTAGGAAATGCAAGTGACGTGCGCAGCGAAGCGACAGCTGACCGGCGTTCGAAAAAAGGTAGCCTCGATGTTTGTTTTTTTTTTCAATAACCCTTGCCATTGGCAAGTTCTCATATCTGGGATATTCCGGCGCTTGGGTGTGTGGCGTGGAGCCATCTTCGAGTTTCTTCTCTTCTTGGAACGCACGGATGCAATATTTCAATTGAGTCTCGTCTCCACGTTTTCAGATCGCCGTCGCACGTGTAGCGACCCCGAATTTAAGCCCCAGATAACTTATATAAAACGCTTGACCGTATCTCTTTTTCTCTGTGACCCTTGATCATGTCCCAGCCAACAAGTGACCCAAATGGCCTAGGCCCTGTACCCACAGTCATCATCGACGGCACCAGTTTCGTAATCGTCTCAAAGCAACTCGTCGACATCCTTCCCTCTCTTTCTCCGTCCGACCAAACTACAGTCATTAACCTGCTCGCCACTTTTATCAAAGAAGTTGAAACCAACGGCTCCGACCCAATCTACATGCGCGCCATCGGCATGCTCGAGCCCAACGAGGTCGACACAGACGGAAACAAAAAGCTCCACCTCCTCGACGGGTGTTCGTGGCAAATGGCGCAGTTCATGCGGTACTGCGAGCCTACGCGGATCGACGAGGCGGAGCCCTTCATCCAGACGTCGCTGACTCAGTACCGGAGGTTCCACCCCTCAGAGGACGCGGTGAAGGACGTCACGCCGATGCTGTACCTCGCTGCGTCGTATGCAAAGCAGCCTGGGAAAGAGGCCGAGGCGGAGCGAGTGTTCAAGGAGGTAGAGAAGGAGTCCTGGGGAAGTTGGAGGACGAATTTGTGGGCTAGGGCGCATATGAGCAGGATGTATAGGCGCGTGGGGAAGACAGCGGAGGCGGAAGAGCAGGAAGAGCACGTCGCGTAAGTTTTCCTGTCGAGTTCGTTATGCGGTGCTGATTGATAATGGTAGTCGTTGGTTCACAGGCCACCAGTTTGCAATCTCGCCTTCCGATTTCAAGACGACAGTCGGCGATTCTACGTATTCAGGGGAGAATCATATCTTGAACCACCCAGCGGTGAGGAATATCTTGGATAATTCCGTGGAGCTTGGTACAGGGATGTCTATACATTTTGGATGACTGGTCGAGGGAGTAAGAAATACAGTCAGCCGTAATGATATCTGAGGTACATTAAAACTCGCGGTTAGTGGAGTCTTAACGCCAATCATACACATTCGATTCGTCAAAGTTTCAAAACCTTAGCCTCAATACGTAAATGTAAGTGAGAAAACAAATGAAATAGAGGGTGACGGCCCCAGTCCTCACATGTGCTTGACCGACGTTTAAACGCCCAGAAAACCCAGAAAAAGTAGAGATAGGATGAAGAGAAAACTAATAAAGAGACCAGAAATCAATTTGAATGATGTTTTTGGCTGCAGGGTGAGCTCCTACCAAATCGGAACTCAAGAAGGCCAGCAAAAGGTCAGGCATGGTGTTGCGTAGATGGTTGTTCAGGTTTAATCATATTTCTTTGCGTTCGTTTTCTAGGCGATCGAGACAAAGAAAATCATAGAACAATAGTTGGTTGAGAGTGAAAGCTAAGTGCCCAGGTCGGCATCCGAAATAACTGGCGGGTCTGTGGCTTGGGGCCGACGTGTTACTTACGTTGGTTTCTTGTGCCCGTCGAATAGTTACTTACAAGTATAAGTCCTTCTTCACACGGAGCTTTCTATGAACTAGGTTGATATTAATATTCCTGCTCTTTCACAAGCTGATGCTCCCTGCTCTAGAATTTACCATTACCTTCCTTCAAATAACCTTCCCCCGGCTATCTGCTAGGGAACCTCATTCGCGTATGGATCCATCAGCACATCCTGATCCCTATTTCTCGAATATACTGCCATTACTTCCGACTAGATCTTACATATCTCGTCGAGGCTGGTATCATTCCCCTACCCTTCAATCTCGTTCTCACATGCACGCGAGGTAGAGGGAAGAGCCATGTCCCTTGCACGCTCTATGGGCGTGCCCGCACCCCGTTTTATCTCATACGGTAAACATTCTCCTAACACAAGGTCTCGCGAGGGATCGATCCTCATGACGCGTATTCCCGGAAAATCGCTGCTGGATGTCAAAGAATCGTTATTCCCCAGGGGAGCTTCATATCATCGTGCCGATCGTACTCTAATCCTTGGTATACGCGCGTATGCGGCGTCGATGGAAAGGATATCTATGGCGCCCGCATCCCAGGTCGCCATATCAGTGCCTGCGATGACGAGCGTTCATTTACCCTCCTTCTGGCTGCCGGTGCTCGGGAGGATGACGAATTAGGCCAAGCCAAGGTTGATCAGGCGAAAAAGATGTCGACTTGGCCCTCATGATATCGTACTCACTCACGGTGATCTTTGGGATCATGATATCATGGTGGATCACGGACATATTGGATTGGGAATGGGCAGGATGACTCCCCGAGTATTGGGAGCACACATGGATTCTTCAGTGGACTGGGATACAAGTGCCTTGGGCCATTCAACTAGCTACTCTGCTCGGATACAAATATCGCGATGAATTGGAATATGACTTGGCCTTGATAGCAGTTTCAGATACCTCATTTTTGATGTGGTGAATGTTCTCTAAGCCCATCATCTCTATCACGATGTTCCGGTAACATTTTTAGATCCGTGTTTTCTTATCGCACATAATTGGAATCGTTGGCAACGGAAGATAAGCGAAACGAATCGCGCTTTGCACTGCATTATGCTTGTCGGCTTAATCAAGATCGGTTATTTCGATCCGACCAAGAGACAATTGCTGAAGCGAATCTTGACAAGGGTACATGCACTTCGCCCTCCTCCTACTATCCCGTTCACTTGTTCGAATTTGAGTGCTGAAGGCTGTCAATCACTTGACAGATATTGATGCCATTCGCTGCGACAGCGTCAAGGCATTGGAGACAGAAGCCATAGCGTTGGGAAACCAACAGGCTTCCAGTCGCAATGTTCAACGTCGCTTATCGTCCGGTTCTCTGTATGTAGATTCTGACGCCTTCAGGACACTATTTTTTTTTCACGAATTATACCTATCTCTTGTTTTCTTTTTTCTGTTTGTAACGTACACCTTAGTATAGGTTGAGTTGAATATTTTTATGAATTTGCCGTTCTACAGCGACAGAAGCATAAATCAATGAAACATAGGAAGGCGTATTTACATCTTGGCATGGATTCACGTCGCAAAATACATCATCCCAAAACGGAGAAGTGCAACGGAACCTGAGAGCCCTTCATAGCTTTGCCCTCCACTGCAGGGACAACCACGGGCCCAGCGGAAAATTCTTGTATAATGAGACCCTCCAGTAAACTGAACTCGAAATGCTTTCAGAAGATCGACAAGGATAACTTGGATTTCCATGATCCTATGATTTCGGGTTAGATGACGCGACATAGAGTTTGACCTGGAGATATCTTACGCAAACTTCCAATTTGAAGTTTTCACTTAAAATTGAGTGCTGGAAGGGGGAAACAGGTGAGGACCTACCAGATGCATGAACGTATTCCGGAGCCTTATCAGGTGAATAAGAGAGTAGGTTGCTAGAGTAAGACATGATATTCACCAAATGACAGTCTGCAGACACAAAGTCAGCCTTTTTTTCCACAAAAGTACGTTCACTCCTACTCACAAATTGGCAAGCGGGAGTCTGAGGCTTCGTTCGGTTGTTAATAAATCGGTTTGGATTCCACTGGTCCGCGTCGGAACTCCAGATTCTCGGGAGCCTAGTACGAATTATAAGATCCTACAATGTCTACTATCACAAACTGGAACGCATACCAATTATACGTGTATATTGAGCAAAGAAGTGTCTGTTCTTTGGCGATAGGGATTTCTTTCAGAATGTTTCCGTCCTTGCTAATGATGGGTTCACAGAGAGGGAGGCAATCGTCTTGAACCGCCCTACGCATGAGGGTGTGTGCGATAGGGTGTAAACGAAGAACTTCCTGTCAACGAGTGGGATCAGAACTGGACTACAGAGCTCCCTGTGTCCGGCTCTACGCACTTGGATGGTAGCGTTCAGAAACTGCATAGAATCATATTCGACAGAGGTGAGTTTGACACCTTGCGGGTGACCCTGCGAAATCTCTTCGCATATTTTGCTTTGATGTTCGGGATGTGCCGCCCGTCCGTTTCGATACATCCTGGAGCAAACTTTGAGAACGCTCTGGTGTAAAATAAGGATCACCTCCGCCTGCATGTGATGGTTCGTTCTTCGTAGCAGCATATACATCATTCAGAGAACTTGACATCGCATAGGACGACACTGTGCCGTCTTGGTGCGGCGTCAAATGCCGACCGCAAGTATGGATTCCAATGATACATCCGACCCCCCTGGACTGATGCGCATCAAAAGTTTAGGCCATCCACACTGGATAAGAGTATACATACGTGGACGAAGGCCTTCCCCGAACTGTATCATTAGAACCTGCATGCGATTCTGGAATCTTTTCCTTTACAGAGATTTTCCTAAGAGTCCAGCAAGAGAGGAAGCAGTGGGTGGCGAGAAGGGATAAACGCCAATATCAGCTGTTTCAGGGCGCTAGTGTTCATCATATTTACACAAGGACCTTCATAGTCGTCCATCTTCAAGTTCTGATCAATAGATTTATGGAGCCTGAGATGGCGATACAATAATCAGGCGATACACAGAAGCAGGAACCATCATGATTATATGATGCCTCGTTATCCAACCGACACCCAGCGAAAAGGTTGTAAAATAAGTAGTTGACGAACAACGTGAGGCTGAGACAGGAGTGAGCGTAGAACACGAATTGGAACGGGAAGTTATGCCGGTGGCTGCATTTAAACTTCTTGGAGTAGTGCAGAAGAAAAACATGCCCGGTTATGCACCGCTCTCGGCCAGACTAGTATAAAGCGCCCGGCACCAGGAACAGGATTGATATTCATCAGTTCTCCTACTGATAGGTGCCCCATCATAACTGGCACGCTATCAATCGTCTGAATGTATATGAGCCGCTGTGAGTGGAAAACTAATGACCAGTTTACGGATGGTAATTCGGTGCGCGTTTCTCGAGACATTAATTATGCTAATATACCAAATTGAATCAGTAATGATGCTCAATCCAAGGCAATCACCGTGGCTGGTGGAAACTGACAATCGAAGAAGCCGAGAATTCGCGCGGACTTTGGTAATCCCGTAAATCCGGGCGCTTAAAATGACATACAAATCTGACAAATGCGACTCCTTGTACCTCTTCCACCATTGTCATTCTCTCTATCTTCTATCCTGACCGGAAGTGCAGGATCTTCAGCAATCTCACTGGCCATAACAAGGATGTCAGAAAGCCCGCCAACAGATACAAGCCAGAAAGATGTCAAAGGTCCTTCACCTACGTACGCGAGTCCTTTCCGAATGAGCGCTCTGGAGTACTGACATGGAATGTAGTTCATTACTGTTATCGCCACCTGGCTCTCCACATGAGAGGGTCAATGATGATGCTTCCTCTCCCGGCACACCTCATTCCCTGCGATCACATGATGCTGCTGCCGATATCCTACAAAGTTTGTTACACGAACAAAGAAGCCTTGGCCTATCTCAGAATGACCAAACAGGTTTTTCGAGCAACGTGTCACTGGCAGAGTTGCCATCCCTTTCTCCGCCGATTATAGCTTCCACGCCGTCGTCCTTGACATCGTCAGCCTCCCTCACACCATCAGGACACCAGTACAACGTATATCCGAACTATGCTCCACATTTGATGGAGCCATCTTTGGACCCTCCCTCTCAGTCCAACCAGAACGCGTCATCTCCGTATTCCCATTCCATATCATCAGGATCAGACATGTCTGCTCTCGGACGAACTCAAAACATCCCATCGCCCCAGGAAGATGGAGACGCAGGCTACATTCCTGATGACTCGGACAATAAATCACAACAGCAGCTTCCTCAGCTTCCCCACAACCCGTACTACTTTTTCACACCTACACCGCCGTTGCACCAGCCTCCAGTCCATGCGCATCAAAATCTAGTAAATAATCAGCTGGGACTCGGATTCCATTCGCGTTTTACGCCTGTAGTTCCTCACCCACCCATTCAGCATCCAACGCCTCCCAATCCCGGGCCGTTCGCTCCTCCAGCTGGTACAGTTCCAAGAGGGCAGCAAGCACCTTCGCAGCCCAAGCCCCCAGGAGTTAGGATAGGTTTACTTCTTATTATCATATGATGGTCGTGAGATGCTCAACGATCACTCTAGTCCATGCTGATGATTACGAGCAGCGATATCCCGAGGACCCTTCAGGATCCGAATGTGGTCCCATGGCTAGGATCTGGCGGATCTTCCTTGACGAGTGTCAGGAATTCGATGCCGGGAGAATAGATATTCTCCAAGACAGTGTAGACGTTCTGCTGGTATTTGTGAGTTTAACTTCGTTCGTATGCCATGACACAAGATGTCGACTTACTGGCTCTCAGGCTGGTTTGTTCTCTGCTGCTGTATCGACGTTTGTAGCACAGACATCCCAAAGCCTGCAGACAGACTACACGAAGATATCCGCCTATTTATTGTATGAAGCCGTCAGCATCCAGCGCGCTATCGCTACTGGCGCTGTGGTTAGTTCTATTCCCGTGTCTCCATTGAACCCCACGACCACTTTCGTTGCATCCACGTCTGATCGTTGGGTCAATGGCCTGTGGTTTGCAAGTCTTTCCTTAAGTTTGATAACTGCTCTTGTCGCGGTGCTGGCAAAGCAGTGGATACGACAACACATGCTGGCGTCATCCGGTACTCCGCGAGATCGGGCTAGGATTCGTCAGTTTCGATATATGGGTTTCGAGGAGTGGCACGTCCCAGTTATTATTGGCATCCTTCCGTCTCTGTTGCATATGTCTCTCACTATCTTTCTCGTAGGACTGGTCATCTTCCTGGTGGCCTTGGAGCGTCCAATTGCATATGTAATGCTTGCAATAACGGGAGGATCATATGTGTTGTATGTCATTGCTATGTTTCTACCAGTTTTCTACCCGCAGTGTCCTTATCGCACTCCATTGACGGATCTTCTCTTCATCGCATGTAGAGAACTCTTACGATGGACACCGAAAGAGCAAGATACGCAGTATCCCCCTTCCATTCGGGAGTTGGAACTTCAAACCATTAAATCTCAGTCGGACTCGTTGGACGTTCAATCTCTTCGTTGGCTGTACACCATATCTTCCAATCCTACGGTTCACAGCTGTGTCATACAGAGCATCGGTGGGCTCCAGCTCAGCGTCAACTCTGAAGAGTTGGATACTTCATTCCAAGGTAGCGGAATCCAGGAGAAACAACAGGAACTCTTACAGGAATGTTTGCAGCCATATATTGATCGCAAATATTCTGTTCTGGCGGAGGGCATGGAAACATGTGTCGAACGCCTGCTTCGTAGTGGTCTCCGGCTTTCAGCAGCTATGCAACAAAGCTATATGTCTCGCATTCCACGTTTACTCTTGACTCCAACATCCCATGGTCAGCTTTCTTCTGAGGTAATAGCGCTGACTGCTGCTATCGCTTGCCACAATGATGCTCGTCCAGCCAATTATCCATCCGGCGCCGATCTTTTTCTCCATCTCATGAAACAACCACAGCCCGGTAGTATAACTCTCCATCCACTCTTGTGGAAGTCATTATTCTCCGACGTGATTTCCAACCACATTTTTGACCGCTTGGGTTCATTTGGTCATCATCATGCGTTCGAGGAATTCTGCGATTCGTTCATGCGAATAATTGCACGTCGAGGGATTCTATGGAATGCCCCTCAACCGCAGGATGATGGTACCCGCACGATGAATTTGCAGAATGCTTTATATTTTGGGCTTTACAGTCTTATCGAGGAGCAGCTATTAAACGCGCTAGCTAAATTTGATAAGCATAAAAATCATGCTAGGATGTCGCGGCACATACGCTTGTCACTCGCTATCATCAATTACGTCCTTTCCACTCGTTCATTTCCCGCAGTGCATTGGGATGCGCCTGACTGGTCAAACGAGTACTTCTGTGGAAGCTGCCTGGGCATGCTCTTCTTTGCAGTGCACGATCTCCGGATATGCGTCAAAGACTACGCATCTTTGTCCTCTCGTGAAAGCGGGGCCATCTATTTTACCATAAAGAGGCTCGTAATATCCCACGTTTTCACAAGCGAGTACAATCCTAGGTCTCCCGTACTATGGGTGATACGTTCCGATGTGATTCGCATCCTAATGCGCATGACTATTACCCAAGTGTACAATCCCCAATTATCAGCGCATAATCTGTCCTGGCGAATCTTACCGTCGCAATAGAGACGACTTAGAGACGTGATCTGTCGACTGTCTTTCAATCAGAGCTCACTTGATGGCTTGCCACAAGACTTATATGCCCTAGCAAAGTGTGTTGTAGATATGGGCAGTCTCTTAGGGGATGAAATGAATAGCGGGGATGTCACTGCATTGAATACATTTATGGATCTCGATATCCTTGGATTTATAGGGCGGACGATGTATATGTTCCCCTGGCGCCGCGTCCTACAGGCCTATATCTCAGCTGTCTACCACAAGCTTGAATCAAACAATGCCAGAATACAGAGTTCTGACCATGACACGGATTCCTCTCATTATCACATCATTGCACATCTTAACGTTATCCATCACCCTGAAAACCTACCGATTATCTGCATGGTAGTGGGTGGAAGGCTTGAGAGATCTCTTGATGAGAAGGAGGATGGAAGCACACGATTAGCTTTGTTAAAACTCACTAGACTTCGTTCGCTTGATCCAGTGTGGCCTCCATGCATCAAACTCCTGGACAAGCTTTCACAAGATGGGCTATTTCTAAAGGAACAACTTGAACGGCTCTTGACAATCAAAGACGATGTAAAAGAGGCACGATGGGAACGATATACAGATGAGGAAGTGCAACTTATTATGGTGCGCCTTGAGGAAACTATCACCACTTTAAAGAGCCATCTTTTCCAAGATCCTATCACACCTGGGATATCGGTTTCCCATTCAGTGGTTAGTTGAGCTGTCCACCTACGATCACGTATCATGAGCTCATTCATTTTTAGACTGGCTTGGAGGACGGATCACCAGATAGTATAGATTCACCTCAAATCAGCAGGCTCAGCCTAGAAGATGATGCCATACCGCATCCACCAACACCTATACCTACACCATATATACCGGATGACACTGACTCAAATATCAACTACTCAAACGAGGGATCCTGACCACTAGCAAAGCTGGGAATATTGTCGTATGGTGCTTTGTAATTATATAGATACCTCACCGATTTTTATTCGGAGGGTGACATGAACCGACAAGCGACAAACGACAAACTAGCCGATTCTAAGAGAATATCATTAGGTGAGAATGTATTTTTCAAAGGTGATGAAACATACAGTGGAACCGTATCGCTAGGTCCAAGAGGGGATCGAGAATGGCCGGTGATAGTCTCAGTTGTAGCTATAGACAAGCGGGAATCTACGGCAATGTAGCACGTGATCTCGGAGGAACCGGACCGTGCCAATGCTCCCAATGGATCCTATGGGATGTGTATGCCGTACATTTACCGAGAGGCAGATCTGGAGGGACTACATCCATGTTATTGCAAAGGACTTGAAACTTTCCCTCGTCACAAGCTCTACATTCATCAGCGATACTCGGAATTCGTATCGGGGGAGGGAAGGGGAGAAAGGAATAATGGGCGAGGAAAAACGGGAATTTTCAGGCTAGGGACATCTATGAGGCTCATATTCTCCTAGAATATAAAACCGAAGAGCATACTGTGTACGGGACCCTGAGTGACGAGTCAATAACATGCGATAACGCTTGTCCCGCATCCAGCACGTTCCTGGCAGAAACCGTAAATCAGAAACCATCTCAAGGAAGGAACACGTACCTCTACATTCTCATCGACTTCGTCAAGCAGAGGTGCAGCACCTACAAGCATGGCAACTAAGAAGGAAAAGGGATCAGTGGCCAGCGATGAATACGAACTGGAAAGATGCTCACAAGCAAGAAGAGCGACTATGAGGGATTTGCACTGCATGATGACGACTCAGATAGCGAGCCTTTGGAATAAGTACCTAGGGGTAATAGGGTGAGGGGAAATAAGCGTACTGCCGGTTTGAGAAACTTGGTTGATCATTGATGGTAGCAAGCGCTGAGAACTCCTGGATACCGATAACCAAGTTGAAAGCGCTATGCAGGTAGTCGAAGTGTATGTTTTAAGTGAACCTAGGGAATCAACGTAAGGCAACAGTGGTTTCTGCAAACGCGCAAGCTGCAACAATCGATGGAGAGGAGAGGTGTTCATGCCAGTGGGCAAACATACCGGATACCGGAAGGGAATGACGAGAGTATTCGTCGAAAACAAACGGATGCCCCGAATAGGTTAAACAGCTCTATTTTGAGATGAGAGAGATCAGGCTTGGCTGCTTGGGTGCAGTGGGTGCCAATTCTTTGAGATAGAAGACTTGCCCTAACGAATCATTATGCATGCAGGGACGGATCTGCGTGAGGATAATGACGAACCTGCGATGAAGGATGCTCTAGCATCGAATGGGATGGCTTGTTGCCCAGCTGACACCTGGCCAAAAAGCTGATAGTTGATGAAGAAGATTCTTTGAGATCACAAGCGCGCGCATTCAATTCATCTGAAAGTAATGTCAGTAGTAGTAACAACTGAAAAAGATGATATTACAATGTAGAGGCGGAAAGAGGAAGGCCCAGTCACCGTCATGCGCTTCATCAAGCGCGATCCAAATTTTTGCCAGATTCGTACCCGAGTGTCTTTTCCAAGAAAAAAGAGGAAATTACTGATGATATTATGTGACCTGGGTTCGAACCAGAAACAGGGTAGACCAGGACTCCTCGACTGTTACGCCATAATGCCACGATGATTGCGTCGTGGCTCGGAACTATAGATATACCCCCCTTCCATCTCTACGCCTTAGGATGAAGGTGGCTCGGAAGGCCAGGGAAGAGTGAATGTTTATCTAAAGGTGCTATGAGCAGTTTCTTCGGGAAGACGAAGGATGGGACACTATACTGACGTGTCAGTAGCACATGGTCCCACATCCACCGTGGTCCTGGTAGAAATCGCGACTCAGCATACCGCCACAAAGACGAAAGTGTACCTCTGGCTCAATGTATATATACTTCCTTGAAAATCCACCAGGTACAGGAGTACCACGGCTACTAAGAAGGAAGGATCAATAGTCTGGCACCAACGTAGACTAGAAAGACACTCACGTCCGGTACGAAGTGTTCGCACTGCATATGTTGACGGGAAAAAGCTTCCGAGTCTAGATCCATCGTTGATAAGACGCCGAACTATCCTGTAGCAGTATTTTAGACACCCTAGTATGGGCCTACGAGAAAATAATGATGAACCCGCGACGAAAGAGGTAAACTTGAGAAATAGTAACGAAATGGAGGCCAAGACGTTATCTGTGACATAAGATTAGCTCAGCCAAAAGAGGTGTATACCGCCCGCGCATCACAAACAATGGCTAGAATCAGAAGTTGGTGGACACAGGGTCGAATCGAACGGCTGGCAATAAAGTATAGAGATGCCCATCGTACCCGTACATACGGCGGATACGGGTACTGTATATACGGGCCCATACCCGTACCGCCAGCGGTTTGGAAATCGATTTTTACGCCGTATTTGTACGGGTATTGTATGGATAGGTGAAATTTATATGGATGCCTATTATTTTTCGTATGTGATGAGTCAAATGAATGAAATCAGTCACTTTAAATAAAAATTTTACTTGCTCCAGGTCAGCACCCTCTCATATGATGCCCGTATACGGGATACGGTCAAACCCGTACCGTATCGTTGCCCTTTTCTCATATGATATACGGCCGTATAAGGTACAGCCGTAACCGTATACGGAACGATGGGCATCCCTAATCATGTAAAGGGTAGAAAAAGGGACGACGAACGAAAGTTTGATATTGTGAGATGAACATTTGGTAGAAAAACATGCGGTGAGACTGAAAAGGAGATGGCTCCAAAATGTGAAGACGTGGTAATCGGTTATCGCCATGTATTTCTTGCAGAACAATGCCAGCTAGATCCATAGTTACCAGTAAGAAAGAATGCCTGTTGTCGTCTGATGGCATTAGCTGGAATCGAACCAGACGTAACGCAACCGGCCCGAACATCCGCGCCTGTTACACTATAATGCTACAATGATGTCGCCACTGTTCAGCATTATAAAGATACCTCGCCTATCCATGACGCGAAGGTACCCGGTAAAGGCAGAGGAGAAGCAATCCGGAGGGCGGCAATTCTAAGGACATACCGTTAGGAGGCCAATGTACTTCGAAGGATATGAGATGGACGAACCCTGGATACAGCATTGACAGTAAGCCACAGCCCTTTCCTCGTCTTGTATCTTATATGAGCAGACCAATAGGGAAGAACGTAGCGCAAGAAGGTAAGTAGAGCGTTATCGCACTGCATAGACTTACGACGAATGTTGATCAACGTGTTTCTCCGTCTGTCAGAAGAAAGACGCGCATGAGTCACTTCCTGCTGAAGGGAGATCAAGCCTTGGAGAGAACAGAGAACGTGGATAAGATGGTCAATTTCATGGAACCAATGGCTGCATGATTACTGCGGGAAGATAAATGCGCCTACATTCGTGGCGACGCGATACAATTGGTATAATGTTCGCATGAAGGTACAAGCCGGACCTACAGTGGCGAAATCATCAAGACGTCAACCCGGGGGAAAAGACACCTAGAGAGCTAATGTTGGTGACACTTCACGTCAAAAATCAAAACATGCATCCCCATTGACCCTAGTCCGTACCATATCTACCTTCCGAATTGCCTAACAATCCTGGTGCGGGTAGAAAATCCCAGCAGACTTCGTCGAACATAGCTACGACCAGGAGTTTGGCTGGAAATCGAATCCTTCGTGGGACTGAAGAAAGTCATGCATATCCTGGGCGTTGATTCCGACCATGCGATGCTGATGCCACTACGGCGCTCGTAACTAACACATTAAGACGAAAGAAAACACGGGACGCATGTGATCATCACGACTACGGAAATTGAAATTCAACCCTCAGTCGTACATGCCGCGACCCCCTGAGAATAACAATGTCTCGACGATATCCAGACCTCTCAGGTTTCTTCACATGCAACCTATCTTCTCAGTGCTTGCGTTGCTACTGGCGTTCAACGACAGGTACAGCTTGGATACTTCTGGGGCCTCGGGATGCAGTAATTGCTTTCTTGTACGTGGCTCTTCCAAATACGCGTTATCCTAACAGTATTCAAGAACGTTTCAGATTCGCACGGCGTCGACGTTATATACGTGACTCGTAACTTCATTCAATCTTGATCATTTCGAGGAAGACAGTAATAGACACGAAACGGACAGGGTGGTTACCAAGCATTTACATAAAGAACATGAATATCATTTAGACACTCTAGTACCGCTCACGACACGGGAAGAGCTGCAACGAGAACAGCGAGAACACCAGTAGAAATCACACAGATTCCGACTCAATCTTCATCGAGACAACAATAGCCTGTTTCAAGCCCATCAGTAACGAAGTATCCATCAAATATATATCTAGAAACATACCTTATCCTGCGCACGGTGGCTGTGTGCTCTTTCAGACCTCAGTCCGCTGGAGTCAAGTGGTGGTAGGTGGAAGGAATTATCAGCGGTTCGAAACTCTTTCCGTGCATTTAGCCTATCATCTTGAATGAACATCTATGAACACCGGCAATTTGGGATGCAGTACGTACATTGTTAATAAGGAAGTGATGAACACTATGAACAAAGATTAAGATCAGTACGATGGATCTAAAATCATGTCAACTGACATTTGGGGAGTATACAATCGATGCCGAGGAATATGAGAGTATCTGGCCAGAGTAGAAACTATGACATGATCCATTAGCACTGAATTCGCTCGGACCGAGCAGGGAGGTTGCTCCGAAATTTCTATTCGTACCGTGATAAGAATTACCACCGAATACAAGCTATGTGAGCAGTTGTCATATGGTTGCGACGAAAGTACAAATTGATTTTCTCCCACCTCGTAATGAACCCAGACATCAGAATCATCCGCATTAATGTCAGGACTATTGTAATCGTGCTGTCGAAGAAACAGTTTATGAGATGTAAACAAGTGAATGAATAGACTGACTTGGGAACGGCTGAAGTGGTCCGGCCTTTATTCAGAGAGTAACACATGGCGGCGGATGTCATGAACTCGGCTGTTACACTTGTTACAAACAACGAGACAAGACCGCTCTATATTGGAATAAGATACTTAATGGGGTGGGTCCATGATTGAACACGGACCTTGATGTCCGGTTGTTGGCCGAGGGTAGCCATGCCGTATCTGTTGAATTATCATTGGCGATGAGTGTTATAAAAAGCTGAATGCATACATCTGTCTAATCAGGTCTGCGGGACTGTCGTTAAAAATAAAATATCACAACAATCAGTATCAGAGACTTACATATCCCGCAACCTAGCGGGTGTTATAGTGGTCAGAAAACGATCTATATTGGAGAATAGATGGATTCTCTGTACCTCCGTTGCTTACAGTGACGAGAACCTGAAATGGTGAGAACGGCAGTCATTGAAAGAGACACAGTAATAGATATTATACCACATACAACCAACCACAGTACGACTCGATGAAGATGTTGTCCAACTAACCATGTAACTCAGAACAGAGCTGGGCATCAATAAAAGGAAACGCACATTTCCATAAACGCACAGCATACATCCTACACAGGACATGTATTTCAAGTCAACGGTGAATCGGAAAATGCGAATCCTCACGCTTGAACATAGACTCGAATAACAATCTGCCAGGGCAAAGCTTCAGAATGAAATTCACGATGCGACAACTTGGAGGATTAGGTACGTACACAAAGCAATATGTGCAGCTATGGTTGAATATGGGATTCAATATCATGGCCGTATCGACACAAGAAGCGCAAACCTTAAGGCTCCTACGCAAGAATCCAAATTTAGTAAAGAAAGTAAAACCATTTTCGGAACCAGATAAAACACACCAAAGGACGGCGCTCCCAAGAAGAGCGTTAATGTCCCCAAAGTTCTTGAAAGCATAGAAATATGAAGTGTAGGCGGTAAACGCGACATCGAGTGTATCCAGAAACCTGGTGCATGACATTCAACACGGGACACCGAGTCGAGGAAACCTTACCAGATGGCCCCTATCTACTCGTCATCAGAAAAAAACATTAATATCAATGCACGTTTCGAACGAGATGCAAAACGCGTGCGCACAGAAACTTTAAAAAACTGGCCGTCATTTGGGTAATTTTTGAAGTACAGTGTGGATTGGAGACTTGTTATGCCAAACAGACTGAATCGGCATTAGTGCTAGTTCAGCGGTGAGAAGCAGAGCAGAAAACGTACATGTTGGCCAACGTAGCACCGATAAAGAATGCACCGAGTGTATTTTCGACCGATGTGTGTTTCATGGATGTCGAGGATCAGAGAATGAACAGCCAACGCCTCGGGTGGGTCCCGCTATTTGAGCAAGAAATGGAGTGCACCCGGGGCCGAGATTGAACTTGATCATCATGAGATGCGAGGGGCTATGAACCACTCGGTGTAATCGAGTTGGCGATTTCACGGACCGTGTTCAACCATCGGAGAATTGATCAAGCCTCAAGGATGATGATATCCAAATCTCCGTTGGTGTCTAACCCTGTTCCACGAACTTTGCCAAGGGGACACTGCGATATAGGTTGAAGATGCGCCGTCAAGCGCACCGTAGGAACGTAGAGCCCGCGCTGTTTTGCATGAGATGGTGACTAAAGCGGTCCATAAACGACAAGGGACAACCCACAGATTTCTAGTCCCTCGGGACCAGTTCCCAGATATCAGATGTCAACATAAATAACTCCAGGGCTGTCCGAATCTAGACACCATGGTGCCAATATGAAAGGAATGTGATCCGCCTTTCCTGTCTTTTTGCTCTCACTGAGAAATCTTCCAACGCATCGGCTCGCCGGAAGAGAGTATGGGCACATCTTTGGTCTTCATCGTATGAACTTATTGGGAGGAGGGGGGCTGTCCCTGCAACGCATGAAGCATGCGTTACTCATCATTTTCAGGAGATGAACAAGAAGCATCGGCAAGTAAAGATGTGAGCCAGAGTTCCGTTTTGAATGGAGTCCAGATAGAAAGATACCCGTGTGGCTGTGCTAGAGCACACATACCTCGAGAACTTTCTTATCCGGCATCTTTAAGAGGCTTGTTCCGGAACACCAATGTTGACCCTCATCTCCTTGTTATCATGAAATTGTCAGATGAGGGTTCGAATTCCGGTATGATATCCAACCGAAGTTTGAATCACAACTAATTTGGTGTTCTAATGCAAGTAGAGACAGTGCGTTTTCTCCCGTCTATGAGTTCTACATCAATTCATGCCGTATTCTTGAATTCCAAACTGCCCAAGTCCGATGACCTCACTTCCCCGATGATTAAAGTCTGACGTACACATAGGAAAGCCCGTGTATTGCGAACGGTACAAACAAAACGGTATACGAAGTTGTAAGAAGAATACATGGTGTAGGAAATATGCTGGTTCGCGAGGTCACCCTCAGAAGAGGCAGAGAGACCAAGCCCAGTTCGAAATTCAGAAAATAAACATGAAAACGATGTCATAAAAAAGTCGAACACTGAGCGCACCGACTTCTTCGATGATACAACCTGTGTAGAGCTGTTTGATGTACTGGAAGAGAATAACTGTACGAGGCGGAAAATGGATCAAACACCAGCAACGTTAGGGTTGCAATAGCCATCGCCCCAGTTAGTAGTGGTGTATCATTCACTGGGGAAAATATCGATCAGCGTTGGAAGAGAAATGCCCGCCGACGAGTTTTAGTTTCATCAACCAAGGCCCGGGTGGCTGGTGATGTGGTCATTGTAAAAAGGGTCTTGACAACCTGGTTGAATGGTACCATCAGAAAGGATAATCAACTGAAGTCAGCATGTATTGAATGGGTAATAAGAGTATATGACAGGGTGTCATTCGCAGCGAAGAGAAAAGCAAGAAAGATTTGTATAGAACAGCATTTATACTGACCTGTATCCTGTAAGGGAGGACCTTGACATAAGAACAGAAGCATGCATAGATATAGATTACTTAGAAAATGTTAGCCCTTAGTGTTGATAATGAGTCACCCTGTGTGGAATGAAGGGCAGATGATCTAAGGAATGACTGATGTAAGGCCCAAGTTCATGGAGGTCTTTGATGATACAAAGAGTACCAGCCTGCAGACAGGAAATTCACAGGACATCAAGGTGAAAGAAACAATCCCCATACCTACCATTTCCAACCAGCCACTGTTAACCTAAATCAACACATGCATTTCTTGAAAGGTTTCATTTATTTGGTGGTTATAGCATGAAGCTGAGAGTCAAAACCTGAACAGAGTGTGTTAACTTGGATGCTGAAAGAACAAGAAAACACTATTGGTACTGTGGACCTGTAATATGGAGTGTGTGCAGAACAGAGATCCAGGTGGTGGCTGGCACTGGTGAGAGATCTGCCCTAAACCATGGCTGTGGTATTGATGTGTCACATCTATTCAAAGTCCCTGGTTTGACTGTATCTTTATAGCCAACTGTTTCATGATACAAAAAGCTCAGTATATTGAAGAGAATACAATATCCATGACTTCAACCACAGCTAAGAAGAGATAGAAGTGATTCTCACAAGTGTAAAAGTTACTACAAGCACAGGTGCAGACAGAGGCTGAAAAATTTAGCACAAGAACTGGCTTAAAACTGAGAAAAGAGTTGGAAGAAGAGGCTGTGCTACTTAAATAGTGGAAGAACAAAAGAGAGTTCTCAGTGCTTGCTGAGAATATCAATCAGATGCTAATACTCCTCCTCACTGAGGACTACTTCTTCATTGAAAACTCATGAAACTTCAAAGACAGATGAATGCTGTTGGCTTCAATGCTTTTGTAAAGCAGTCAGCAATATTGTTCTTTGGATTGATGTAAGACAGAGCAACTTCTTTGTTTTCAACTCATTCTCAAATAAAATAGTACTTCATATCAATATGTTTTACTCTGACATACAAGGATGGATCCTCTGAGAGATTGATAGCACTATTATCATTGCATAATAAAGGAGTTGAGTTCTTTTGTTTAAAAATGAGTTCTGATAATAGTGTCCTGATCCAAGTAGCCTCATTTGTACATTCACATGTTGTGATATATTCTGCCTCACAATGAAATAGCAATTGTTTGTTGTGTTTTAGCATTCCATAAGATTAGACCTGAACCTAAAATAAATAATATCTTCCTATACTTCAATGAGTGTCAAGACAGTTTGCCTAATTGGAGTCTGTAAAGCCAAGCAGTTTCAAGTCTAAGAAGCCTCTGAGATGAAGTTTGAGTTCTCTTATGTCTTTGAGGTGGCACACTACTCTCACTACAGCATTTCAATGCACAGATGAGTAGCTGTCAGAGAAGCAAAATAATTATTAGACAGCATAGAATATGTCTGAATGAGTTTCAATGACCAAGTAGATCAGCAATCAGACTAGTGAGTGATAGATAGAGGAGTTTCTGTAGCTCATCTTGATCTTCATATGAAAGACTGATAGGATCATATCAGTGGAGTTTTAGTCCTCCATCTATTAGAGTGAATATAGAGTGAGCATTTTTATACCCAAATTGAGATACAATTCTATTAAAAAGAGTGAACTGGGATAAGGACACAGTTCACTTCATGCAATCTCTAGAGATTTCTATTCTAACACAAACCTTTATCTCACTCAGATTTGATATTATCTATTTTTAGTGCATTTATATCTTGAATCTTTCATTCTTTTTCTTTGAGCTGATAATAGAGAGAAAGTCATCAATGTGAACAGCTGCTAGAACAGTATCTATTGATATTTATCTGTCAATATTTTACAGTAGTATATACAGTATTCAGCACTGAGATGAGTAAAACCTCATAAAACTATAGCATTGTTCATGGTCTTGTTTCATATATGTCTGCTTTGCTTTATGTTGTATAATCTATATTGAAGCTTTCACACTCAATTTTCCTTTTCAGATTCTTAGCTGTTCTATATATTAAGTCTCATTCTCCAGAAGTAGACTATAAAGAAATGCAGTTTTGACATCAATCAGTTGAACATTCCAGTTGAGAGGAGTAGTGAATATTAGGGGCTTTTTGAATCAGGTTTACTTGCATGATTGGTCTCTTCTATTTATAATGCATCTTAGACAGCCTTGAATGAGCTATAGCCACTCATAAAGTCCTTTTTAGCTTTAAAGACTTTGAGATTGATAAGCATGTAAATTGCATGATCATTAGTTTTCCAGTTCACATAAGCATGAGATTCCAGAGACTCATCAGAACAAGGTAGGTAGTGTAACAAGTGGCTATTGATTTTTCCAAATATTGTTGAGAATGTTGTCATTCCATTCTTGCCTGCTATTGATCTCCTTGTTGAGGTTAGCAACAGTGAATAAGTGAATAAAAGCTAGTAAACATATATTTATTTTCATGCATCTATCTGTGTTCTAATATCAGCCTGGTAAGATCAAAACATCTGACATAGAAATAAAAGCCTATATTAGTATTTCAAAAACTAATACAATAGTCCTGAGTGAGTGAACTCTTGTCAGTGTGCATGCAAAATTAAAACAAAGAAACAACAACAGAAAGAGAAGCAAGATGAAATGATAAATGAAGCAAAAGAAATAGTCAGATTTTTGGAAACAAAACATAACTATATTTCAAAATTTTCTTTAGCAGACTTGAACAACTGACCTCATCATAAATCACACCAATGACTAAGTATACTAGTGATGCACTCTACCAACTGAGCTAAAAGAAAAGTGGTAATATAAAAGTGTATAAAGTTAATGACTGGTATTTTATTAGACACACCAACAAAAAACAGCAAAATTTTAGTGTCTCTACTACTTGCTCAAAGATTAAGATGTGGTTAGATACAATGAGAGCCAGAAAACTGCTCTCAGTCTGATTTCAGCATATAAACAGCTATAATAGTCTTTGATAGTAAGTGGTAAGGGTAGTGGTGATTTAATGAGTTTGAGTGAGTTGCAAGAAGTTAGAGCATAAGATAATGGATATATAAGTATGCCAGTTGTAGTTGCACTCATAAGGTGGAGTGTTCTCATATATAAGTAGTCTAAGCTTTTGAGAACCAATGTCTGAGAGTCAGAATAATGGATTCTGAGAGACCAAGAGATTTATAGAATGTTGCTCCTTCAGCTCTAGCTGAATGACCACTAAAGTCTCTAATTAGTATTGTAAAGCATTTTTTGTTAAACTAATTCTAAGATGAAATGTCACTATTTTCTCAGAGGAGTGGAGCTTGTAGACTATAGAAGCAATCATGATATCTGATATATTGCAATAAGAGTTGGACAGGATCTGTCAGCTTCTGTCATGTGAATAAGATATCAGTGCTATAGTAGAAAGAATCAGATTTATGATGTAGAAGATGATACTGAGCATCATTTTTTCAAAAAATCAAGAAGGAGCATTTAACTATATTGCAGAAGTCTTGAAGTTATTTTTTGTTTTTCTATATGAGCTCATCTAACCAGTGGCATCCATAGAAACAGCAGGAAAGAATAGTGGTAAAGAGAAGATTATCACAAGATTCTGAAATGCTAACAAAGAGAGAGAAGGTGATTAAATAGTGTACTTGAAGAGGTAATTTTTGAGAGATGGGATCATCTCTCATCTTTTGTGAGCCATGAATGATTCTTTGCACTATGAGATATCTTTTATTTTTGTTGAAGTCAGGATAAAGATCTTTTATAAAGTGACAGGCTCCTATCAGATATTTTGGGCAAGATGTGATGAACTAGAATGTATATGCAGTATATCTACTGAGCATAAGTGCTGTAGGTTTGAGTGGTGGAGAGTGGATGATGCAAAATTGAATATAATTGCATACTTCAGTAGCATATCCTTTTGCTGCTCTGAGCTCAATTGCATGAGCTTGAAGAAAATAGATGCATTTGTCAAGGAGAGAGAGAGAGAAAGCTGGATGAGTAATGCAAAGAGCATGCTCACCCAGCACAGCTAAAAGATTTTTTTCTATTACATCAGCAATAGATCTCTTGGAGGAATAGAGATGCAGATGTAGTCAGTGGAAAATTTGTGATGATATTCATTGAGAAGAAGTCATAATAGTATATCAGCCCTAATATTGTTTTTTTCATCAATATGTTGGATCTGAACATTGATTTCTGATATGAGTATGAGACCTGCTGCTACAAGCAAGGGTCTGTTATATAAAGATTCAGATATAAACAGAGAATTGAATGTGATAATAGAGTCAAGACTATCAGTAAAGAGTAGGAGATATTGAAGGGGTTTGAGTAAATATACTGTGTGATGGATTGCTGAAAGAATGGCAACAAGTTGAAGAAAGAAGATGTTGATTATTGTTTTGAAAGAAGGTGATCAAAGCTGGTAGATGAACTCATTTCCAGCAAAGACAAATGATAATGCATTTTTTAAACTAGCATCAGTTTAGATTATTATGTCAGCATCTGAATCAGTCCATGCAGTTGAGTTGATGAAGTGAATGCCAACTAAATTTAGAAAGATAGATGAAAATATGACAAGTCTTTTTTGACAGTAGCATTGATAAAGATCTTTGTAAAAAGATGAGTCTTTTCAGCTATTTTTTTGTATAGTGAGAAAAGAGTAGAATAGCCTTATGGCAGGCAGAATGTTTAAAACCCAATTTAAGTATTCACCTAAATGCTGCTATTTCTGTAGGTTTAGTGCTCTATCAGATGTTGAAAAAAAGGATTTGAGTTTGGCTTTTGCATCAGTGATAGATTGTTGCATGAGAGAGATGCTCTCTTGGTTTGCATTGATCTAGAATCCAATAATTTTGAGGGATTAGCTGTGCATCTGTTTTAGATCATTAAAAGGACAGGAAATGTATTCTCAAAATATCAGAAGCTGTACTTGCTATGCTGAGTGCAGATCATCTCAATAAAAGATCAAATGATTGCTGAAATCCCAGCCAAAAGTTATCCATATAGATATAGAGATTAATGATATTCAGATGGTGGATTCTGATCTAGCACAACAAAGCCAAAAGCAAACACTAAATTTGAGGTGAAGTGAGGCTTCTAAAAACCAGCTGTCTAACAATATGATATCTGTTGTCAATGATTACCACTTGATGGATCTGCCATAAAGAATGTGTAGGTAGATTTAGAAAAACCTTTGCAACATCACTTTTTAGAGAATAAAATCAGTATTGGAGTGTTGCTTTCTGGCATTATATAGACTTTACTAAATGGATGGATATCATTGTATTTGACTTTTATATCACTAGCTGAGGTTCCTGCATTTAAACCAGAGAAGATATGATCCATTTTGATGCAGGGTTTTTCTTCCTGCTAAACCATGAACATAGGAGAAACCTTTATTCCTAGTAAGAGTATAAATCCTTCTGGCAGGAATAGTGACCAGTGCTCTGCAGCAATCTCTCAATCATGAAATGCTCAGATATTGTTGATGTCTCTAGGGTCTAAAGCATAATTCTCTATTTTGTCACTGAGCAAGTCTTCTCATTTGCTCAGATCAAGAGACCAAACTCATCATAGAGACTGTGAATAATTAAAGAAACAAGAGGTGCATTTGGATGAAATCAAAGAATATTGTCTAAACAGTTGATATTGAAAGATGTGTCAACCACTATAAAGTCTTTTAGAGTATGTAACATGGCCTGCACATGTGAATCATTAAGTAGATATAATAGTGGAGAGAGTAGAGAGTTGGCAAATTCAATAGATTGAGCAGCAGAAGATGTAGATGCAGAAGGTGAAGATAGATCTGACCAGATATAGTCCTATTTGAAATGTGAGCCAGCATTCTGATCTTTGCTCTTGTGTTTTTGAGGCCTTAAGGATTTAGACTCTGCTGCTGCTACCTTTACTGTTATCTGTTCTAAATCTGATTCTTCATTTGGCTTGGAGAAGATTGGCATATTTGATAATATCTTAAGCCCAGTGTCTCACACTACACTTATTGCAGGTGCTATGCCTATAGTGATTGGTGTATGGATCTTGGCAGATATTCAGATTCCAATTTTTTGCAAGATACTATCACCCTTTTGGCAGCAGAGAATAATGTGAATGACAGCCACTTCATGTCTGAAGAAAGAATGGATAAGGAGTGAAGAATCTGAGAAAGAATAAGAATCTGAAATTGCTCTAAACATCTATATGGAAAGGACACTTGGCATAGTGTAACCAGACTTTCTCATCAATATAGACTACAATAGGGCATGGCTGCAATGGAGTTTTGAGATTCATTAGTAGTTGGTCTTTGGTGAAGGAATTGAAGTTTTGAATGTAGAGATGCTCAAACTGTCTCTTCAACTGCATAAGCTTTAGCATCCTAGTGCTATTCTCAGCTCATCCTTTTGACACTCCTCAATTCCATTCTGAAACAGATCTGGAGAAGTGACCTCTCTGTCATCTGCAGCTCCAGTGTCTTCAATATTAGAAGATATATCACTTGTTATCCTTGGATCAGCTTATTTGATTCATTCCAGCAGAAGTTTGGTATAGTCTCTTGCAGCCTCAGATGAGAGACTAAAGTCTGTCTGCAAAGTCAAGAACATTAACAGTATCTTTAACACAATCTTCAACAAGGTTTTCACATTGTTTTTGCCAATGTGATGATACTCTCAACATTGGTGGACAGACTCAAGATCATGTAGATTTGAGGGATGAAGGACATTGACAAAAAAGCTCACTAGAGACTTGTATATTAAGAATGTAGTAATACTAGATGAAAATTGGTTAGATATCATAAAGCTGGAAACTGTATGGATGAGCTTTTATAAGATGGGAATGTTACGATTTTACCTTTTTTCCTTTCGTTTCTCCTTTATTTATGCTTAGTCATAGCATGGGATCGCGGGAAGGGCTTAGTAAGCACAACTAGGCCGCCTAGAAACAACAACACTCGACGATGCACGGTTACCCTATTATGTACAACAACGATGCTCAAGGACAACGAGCACCATGGACACAAGTCGACACAATAAGTAGTCATATTATTAGCATCATCTGTATAGTATTTAAGACCGACAGCTCTTGCTGGTAACCCCAGCTTCGAGCTAAAGTTTATTCACACCATTCTACCTCGAGTCTACTACTGACCTTGAGTCACACTGTTCGGATATACATATAAGTGAACTCAGGTGATTCCTCAAAGTGCGAAGGAACATCTGTTTATCACGTGTATCAGTCCACATGACGCTTGGGCCTAACAATTAGCTCGAAGCTTCCTCGTTCCCTTTCTCAAGCCCAATTGTGCTGAGAAACCGAATGCCTCCAGTAACAACCGCAGACCTGAATCACGATTTCTTCGAGCTGATAGCTTCTATCATCGGAACACTGCTCGGTCTCTTAGCCATCATCACCCTTTGCCACGGAAGACAATCAGTAGCAGCCTGGATAGTCAGGCACTATCAAGCATTCCAGCATATTCAACAAATACTACGAAACGTAACCCCCGACCTCCCCTTCCATGACATCCCCCCCTCCGCCAGAACGTCCTTCTTCCCGCAAGGGGGACCCGTACCAGAAGCCGGGAATAGCGACCCGGATCAGAGGAGCCTTCATGAGGAAGAAGGACCCGAACACCCCCGACGACACATCGGAGACCACCACCCTGCTCTCACAGGGTTCTGGAACCCATGGACGACGAACGTCGCTCAGGAGCCCGCCGAGGTCTCCAACTACGTCACTCCGGCCAGCTCCCCCGAGCATTCTGCCTTCCCAATTCCCTCAGGGATTGGAAACCGTGCTCGGGACTCCCTTGATGCCGCTCGGATGGCTGTGGGACCCCACGAAGGTCCCCACACCCCCCAGAACCCCCCCGAGACCCCCACTGAGCCCAACTCCGACCCCAGCCCATCCGTCAGCAGGCTGGGGGTCGACGATCCGCGAGGAAGAACAATCCACCCCGACTACGACAACACGGACATTGCCATCTCGGCAGCAGGGGATCCCTATCGGCACCTCCATGTCGGGAGTGAGCCCGAAAACGAGACCGCTAGCGAAAGGGGAAGAGCTGCAACAAGACGAATCATACACCGGGTATTCCCAGACTGGGACCTTGCCGTTCCCTTCGACTACGATGAAGCCGTATGGCAGCAGCAGCAGAATCAGAACCGGGAGGAAGAAATCAGGCGAACCCAGGAGGAGCTCGCTGACTATGTCCGAGAGGAGGCCCGAGAGCAGTACGAGGCCGCAGAGTATGACAGACAGGGAAGAGAGCAAAGAAGAAGGGAGGAGGTCGAAAGGATGGGGTCAGCCTCCCCTAGGGAGTATGAGCTCCGAACCAATGCCGGATCTCCCTTCAGAGAGCCCGACTCAGACGATGACCCATGGACGGGACCTGCCAGCATCGTCAGCTGGGACGAGGCGATCAGGCGAGGAAATGCTGAGAGACCCTGACCTGTCAGCCTCGAATACCCCGCCCGCACCGATACCATCTCCTCCGACGCCGATTCCGTCCTCGGAGCCTACGGGCTCCGAGTACCCGACAATGCCCACGTCCCCGACAGGGCTCTCCAGCGATTCCTGGACAGCAGGGTCGCTCGACAGTTCCTTAACCCCGAGTTCCAACGACTCTTCAGCGTCTATAGCCGAGAACTGGAGGAGACAAGAGCGCGTGGCGGGACGCGCTACAGCCGGCTCAGGAGCCCTCCCATCGCTCGAACCAGTGATCGAGGGGACGATGGGCCAAGCACCCAAGTCAACGGAAGGGTCCCCGATGACCCTTCGACCAGCCGCGCCATCCATCTTCGAC